TTTTTAAATTTTTTTTTAGTGTTTTATTTATTTCTAGGAGAGAGAGAGAGACAGCGTGAACAGGGGAGGGTCAGAGAGAGAGGGAGTCACAGACTGAAACAGGCTCCAGGCTCTGAGCTGTCAGCACAGAGCCCGACGCGGGGCTCAAACCCACGAACCGCGAGGTCATGACCCAAGCGAAAGTCGGACGCTTAACCGACTAAGCCACCCAGGCGCCCCTCTTAGTAACATTTTCTTTTCTCCAGCTTACTTCATTGTAAGATGATAGTATCTAACACATAGCATACAAGATATGTGGTACTTGACTGTTTACGTTATCAGTAAGGCTTCCAGTCAACAATAGGCTATTAGTAGTTAACGTTTTTAGGGAGTCAAAAGTTAGAAGCAGATTTTTGGCTGCATGGGGGTCAGTGCCCTTAAACCCATGTTGTTCAAGGGTCCACTGTGTTTACATTTTTCCTAGAACTAAGTCTACCAAGTCATTTATCTAATTTTCAGCAAATCCTCTGCCAGGGAGGCATTTCTGCAGAGCCCTGAGATAGAGCCAGATTGTTTCCATTCTGATGAATCGCTTTCGTGGGGATGAAATGTGGAGACTCTGGGAGCAGGTCCAGGTGCCATGTCTCCTGCATTTATTCTCTTGAAAGATAAGCAGGGATTCCCCAGGTAGACTGAGGGCCTGCAAACAGAGGGGAGACACATACACAGGCTGTAACAGACCTGGAAGAGCATGGTTCCTTGGGAAGATAGAAGCATTTGGACTTGGCTGGAGTACACTGATAAGAATTGCCTTTGAGAAAGAATACTCAAGTGGTAATGAGAAGGTTGGAGTGGCCTGAGGCAGGGGAGATTGTCTAGTTTGCTAAATTGGCTTTGCCAACAAACACTATTTCTCATAGCCCTGAAGGGAGGGAGGTCCAAGATAATGATGGTGGATTTCTTCCAGGTTTCCTCCTATAGCGGAGAGCAGGCTCTAGTCTCTTTCTCTTCTTATGTGGCCACTAATTCCATCATTCCTCTACTTTCGTGACCTCACTGAAACCTAGTTACTTCCCAAAGGCCACACCACCTAACACCGTCCCAGTGGGTGTTAGGGTTTCATCCTGTGGGTTTTGTGGGGGGAACACAAACATGCCGACTAGAACAGAGAGCAGTTTGGTGGTCCTTGTGGTCATCTAGGCAAGAGGAATAATGAGGGCCCAGACTAAACTACTAAGGGAGTGACAGTGGAAACGGAGGGGATGCAGCAGATGTGAAAGATGTCGGGGAGGTGGAACGCACAGATTTCAGCCGGATCGGAGGGTGTGGCAGAGAGAAGGGAGTCAAGGGTGTCACTTGGACAGTTCTGGGTGGCTGTGTTCATCGAGACAGGGATTTGAGAGAAGCAGATCCTTTGTGGGTATGGAAGTGACGAGGGCAGGAGGAGATAATGGATAATGAGTCTGGGAGACGGCCGGGCGGGATGTTGTGGGGACAGGTCCCTGAGACAGCTGGTCAGGCACTCAGGACGAAGTCTGCACTGGGCGTGGGGATCTGGGAGTCATGGTGGGAAGCTCTAAATTGGGATGGTGACAGATTGGGCATCGTTCAAGGATGCAGCCCTGGAACACCACCACTAAGTGTTGTTGGTAAAGGGTAAGGCAGAGAAAGACCTGAGGGAAAATGCCCAGGGGGAATTCCCTAGCTCTCTGGCTCAAGGAAGTAAGTCTAATTCAGATTAAAGTTACACAGTTTTTTCTCTTCCTAAAATTCCTTGGGTTAAGGCACAATGAAGAGTCTGTCCAAACTGCTAGACTTGAGGGACACCTGGGTGGCTTAGTCGGTTAAGCGTCCGACTTTCGCTTAGGTCATGATCTCGCGGTTCGTGGGTTCGAGCCCCGCGTCGGGCTCTGTGCTGACTGCCAGCTCAGAGCCTGGAGCCTATTTCAGAGTCTGTGTCTCCCTCTCTCTCTGACCCTCCCCTGTTCATGCTGTCTCTCTCTCTCTCCTAGAAATAAATTAAAAAAAAAAAAAAAAGTTTAAGAGTTATAAAAAAAACCAAACAAACTACTAGACTCGATTTAGCCTTGGTCCACCTTTAGAATATACCTAAGTTAATCTTATATTTAGTGCATGTTGAAGTAGGGTTAAAAAGAACAAGGTGGAGTGGTCGTTACAATGAGTCCATAATTGAAAATATTTTTAAAAACCACACGTACTTATTAGGTGATAGGTCTAAAGCTGATTTCATTCCCTTCCCGCTCCAAACCGTTTCCTCCTCCTGTTTTTCTGGTGGTGATAATGGCATCACCACTTAGAGGCAGTCGGCCAGGAGGGAACCCAGGGTGTCGCCCTCCGGTCCTCCCTTCCCGTCCTCCACCCGCCGTCTCCGGGTAATCATCGATTCCGGTTTCTTACCAGCTTAGGAGGCCTACCCATCTCACCACTTCCCTGTGGCCACCAGTAGGGCCCACCGTCACCCCCTCAGCCCATCAGTACGCTGCCAAGACCCTCCCAAGCCTGGCCTCACCTGCCTCGGCCTCATCACACTGCTTCCTTCCTCCCACCCCACCCCCCAGGGAGCCTGAGCTCTTATTCGCAGAGGCCCTCGTTCTCCTCTCCTCAGAACGGGATGTTCTGACTCCCGTTTATTCGCTTAATTTTTTTTTTTAAAGTAAGCTTTATGCCCAGCATGGGACTTGAACTCATGACCCGGAGATCACGAGTAGCATGCTCTACTGACTGAGTCATCCAGGCGCCCCTGTTTGCTTGCTTTAAAAGATATGTGTATTTTACAAGTCTCGGTTTAAACATCCCTCCGTGTAAGAGAAAACTCAAGTTTTTCCTGCCTTCACCCAGGACAGGTCAGTGCCACTGCCTTCCGCTCCTCAGGCCGCCAGTGCATATCTGTCTCACTGCTCTCCATGCACCGTTTATAAAGACAGAGGTCTAATTTGTAATCCCAAATATTTAAGCAGGATAGTAACAGAAAAGGGTAAATAAGGAGTTAATGAGGAAGTTCCGAGGCCAAGTCAGAAGCTGGAAGAAACTGGAGCGAGGCCCCAGCCTCCGTGGACGTGGACGGCAGCTGCTGAGTGCAGGCCGGCTTCCCCGTTACCCTGTACGGACGCTAGCCCACCCGGACCCGTGGGGAAGCCACAGCCCCCTGCCCCATCTGTCCCTGGGGGGCTTGTCACTCTTTAGATTCCAGTTCACTTGACTGCCTCGCAGCTCAGTGTTCTGGCAGGTTGTAGATTGTCTGGCTTGTAACAGAGGTGACATCTTGTCCGTGTAGCCTACGCAGAGACGGAAGTGTAGCCCCTCAGATGAGCCCCAGGCTTTTATGTGCTTCTTTTAAGGACAAGCACTACTAACTCTTCAATAATCATCTCTCTGTTGTTTATCCCTTCACTGGAATCCATTTCTTCGTCGGATGTTCTTGTAAGTGGATGTCCTTGATGCCAGAAGTAACCATTCAGCCCTGAAATCTATATTGATCCTTAGTATTCTATGCTCCTACATACTGAATTTTCGTGGCAGCACGGCCAAACGGGATGGAAGATATGCTTGGGGTGTTATGAGTTTCTCTGTGTAGGATCAGAAAAAATATATCTGTTCTCTCTTTTTTCTGCCCTAGTCGTTCATGAGCTTGTCTTCTTATGCAGTGATTATAATACCCCTTTAAAAGAAAACGAAATGCTTTTTCTGAATGAATTGATGAGTGAACTGTAGGGTAAAAGAATTAAGTGACGACCAAGTTAGGGAGAACTGCTGTGCTCTCCAGCTCCTGACGGGATTGCCGTCAGATGCTGTGGAGGGCGGACGAGCCATGGCCTCTTCAAGAGGGGGCTGCCTGGAGGCTGGCGGTGCAGCAGAGCCCACTCACCCCCACCCCCAGGAGGGCAGGGGTGAGGCCCTGCCCAGAAGGGCTCCTGCTTCCAGAGGACCTCTTCTTCCGCTGCCCTTTGTAGATGTCACAGCGCCCGCACCCCAGGGACCAGCTCCAGGATTCTCCTTAAACACTACAAAACAGTCTATGCCCATTTTCTGGGGAAGAATCTGGCAGATTATAATTCAAGTGGCTCCTGTAATGGGAGGGATTAACCAGCACAGAATGCATATGCTTTTGAGTGGAAAGCTGAGTAATGTGTTTCTCTTTCAGGATGTTTTTACTGTTAGTGTTGGAAATCTGCCCCCTAAGGCTAAGGTCCTCATCAAAATTACCTACATCACCGAACTCAGCATCCAAGGCACCAGGGCTGTCTTCTCCATGCCGGCCACCGTGGCTCCCTGGCAACAGGACAGAGCTTTGAATGAAAACAGTCAGGTTTGTATGCTTAAGAAAGATTTTAAAAAGCTTTTTTGGTGATTTATTCATAGGGAAGAAAAAATATCTAAAATAATCTAGTCTACCTGACGCAAAATCAGTTTTCCTGACATTTCTGCGTTTAGATACGTGTAATGTTTGTAAAATGAAAAGAATAAAGACATAGTTCTGCTCAATGGGTGTCGTATTTTTATTCTGTTCAGTCACCTAAAAAACTTTTGTGTCTCTACTACGTGTTCATTATGAAGAATTTAGAGAACATAAAGAATGCAAAGAAACCAAAGAGGAAAATTTAAACAATCCTTAATTCTGTTGCCAGAGATAGTAGCCCAGAGCTACTGGTTAACACTTTGTTTTTATTTAGTACGTATTTGTTTAAATTGTGTTTATATGGGTATGTGTATATGCACGTATAGGTATGTAGCTATGTGTGTGCATATACACACATATAGACATGTGTATAGTTGAAAATCTCTATTAAAATGGCCATAAACTGTCCCCAATATCAGTTGCATTTTAGAAGTTACTGTTTTCCATGACCAAGTGTTCTGTGTCTTGCTACTCAAATGTGAGACCAGCTGTCTGGTTGCTGCTGTGGGTTGTGGCCGTGGTGACATTGCATTCAGCTTAGAGGTCTCATTGTGAAACTTAGTATATACTTAGTTATATATATATTTTTTTCTTTTAACAGGATACAGTAGAGAAGATTTGTGTAAGGGAAATAGGAACAAAGCAAAGGTTAGTACCCAAAATATAAAACCCTACCAGTTATCCAATGGACTGGCTTTACATTTTCACTTAAAATTAAATATACATATAATTATATAAAATAACTACATGTAGTTGTTTAATATTTAAGATTATAGACTCAGACAACTTTCGCTTCTTTTTTGGTAGCTTCTCTTTGAGTATGTCCATTGAGATGCCGTATGTGATTGAATTCATTTCTAGTGATACACATGAACTGAGACAAAAGGTTGGTAAATCTTTAGTTTTTCTTTCCTTTTCTTTTCTTTCTTTCTTTCTTTCCTTCTTTCTTTCTTTCTTTCCTTCTTTCTTTCTTTCTTTCTTTCTTTCTTTTTTTTTTTGAGACAGAGGGAGGCAGAGCACGAGTAGGGCAGGGTCAGAGAGAGAGGGAGACACAGAATCTGAAACAGGCTCCAGGCACTGAGCTGTCAGCACAGAGCCCCACGTGGGGCTCGAACCCACAAACTGTGAGATCATGACCTGAGCTGAAGTCGGATCCTTAACCAACTGAGCCCCCCAAGAACCCCTCTCTGGTTTTTATTTAAGAGCTCTTATTTTAACATTAGTTTTATTATATCAAGGCAATACACGCACATGGTTTAATAAGTTACATCATAATAATGCTAACAACAGCTTCTAACAACAGCAGCACGCCAGATCTGCCCTGCCTCTTCCAGACCAGCCTCCAGAGGCCGTGAACCACTTTAAACACCCTGCGTCCTTCCTGCTGGCCTCGAGAGTTGCGAAGGATAATTTTTTACTGCTTGTTCTTGATGCATCTATTTCAAAAGTATTTTTTGGTTTCTTATTGTGGTAGATAAAAATCTAATTATTTTACCTGCCCACTACCCTCAGTCACACGTAGATTAAAACTCCTCGCGGGGCGCCTGGGTGGCTTAGTCGGTTAAGTGTCCGACTTTCGCTTAGGTCATGATCTCGCGGTTCGTGTGTTCGAGCCCCGCGTCGGGCTCTGTGCTGACTGCCAGCTCAGAGCCTGGAGCCTATTTCGGAGTCTGTATCTCCCTCTCTCTCTGACCCCCCCCGCTCACGCTGTCTCTCTCTCTCCTAGAAATAAATAAAAATATTAAAAAAAAAAAAAAAAACTCCTCGGAATACTGTTGTTCACCACTCAGTGCTCCCAGTAATTGAGTTAATGTTTTCCCCTAAGACCCCCTGTCCGTCTCTCGGCGGCCGCCCAGCCTGGTCACCGCAGGCCAGGGCTTGTCCTAGGGCCTTTCTTTTATGATTCTCCTCTGCAGGGCTTTTCTTCTTTATCGTCTTCCTTGTGTTAGTCCATCCATTTGCCAGAGCACAGCCTCCATTAACTTCCTGAGTCAGAGTGCGTGGGCAGTGCCTGAAGCTCTCCTCACCCCACGTGTTAATGTTGACCATTTGTTGAGGCATTTAGTCTCAGGCTGAAAATCGTCCTCTCTCAAAGTACTGAAAACCTTATTTTCTAGCTTCTAGTGTTACTTCTTTTTTTTTTTTTTTTAATGTTTTATTTATTTCTAGGAGAGAGAGAGAGAGAGACAGCGTGAGCAGGGGAGGGTCAGAGAGAGAGGGAGTCACAGACTGAAACAGACTCCAGGCTCTGAGCTGGCAGTCAGCACAGAGCCCGACGCGGGGCTCGAACCCACGAACCGCGAGATCACGACCTAAGCGAAAGTCGGACGCTTAACCGACTAAGCCACCCAGGCGCCCCTCTAGTGTTACTTCTGAGAACTTAAGTGCTATTCTTATCCCCCGTTCCTTGTATGTAATCTGTTTCATTTTAAATTCTACAAGAATTTCAGATCTTTTTATCCCTGGTGTTCTGAAATTTCATAAGAAGGTGACATTCATTCATTGTATGTAACTTGTAGCCTTTAGTGCTGGGAAATTTTGTTATATTAAAAAAATAAGTTGTCCCTCTTTCCTTTACCTTTTGCATTGCCTTTCAATCAGGTGTCCCCTGGATTGAACCTCTTGTTTTCTTTTTTTTTTTTTCTCCTGTTGAACATTGTATTGTTTTCTTGTGCTACTTTCTGAGTGATTTTCTCAATTTTAAATTCCAACCATTCTACTGAAATTTTTATTTTAGTTCTAATATTTTTAATTTGCAAGAGCTCTTTTCTGCTCTGTAAATATTCCTTTTGGTGGGTCCCTGAGTGGCTCAGTCGGTTGAGTGTCCAACTCTTGATTTTGGCTCAGGTCATGATCCTGGGGTCGTGAGAGTGAGCCCCACATCAGGCTCTGCACTAAGCATGGAGCCTGCTTGGAATTCTCTCTCTCCCTCTGCCTCTCTCCCATGCTCGTGTTCTCTCTCTAAAATATAGACAGACAGATAGATAGATACATAGATAGATAAAATTCCTTTTTTATAGCATCTTTTTGTGTTTCGTGAATGCATTACCTCTCTTGTCTCTCTGAAAATACATTTTTCTTCTCCTCCCTGTGTTGTGTCCTTTTCCTTTGAGTTCCTTTCTTCTTCTGGCTTTTGCTCTTTGTTCTCTCTATTTTGTGTGAGAGGCCTTTCCTCAAATGCCTGGGTGACCCCTCTGTGTTCGTGTCTCACTGAGACACACAGAATGCTAGTTAGATGCTGTGAGGTGGGGCAAGTGGAAGGGGGGCCCTGGCAGCTGGCTGGCTGTTTGATGGTGGGTCTCATGGTAGTGTTTTAGCCTTTCTGTGGCTGTTCAGAACACCTCTAGGGCACTCATAAAGTATGACTGGGGAGAGTAACTGAGGGACCCACACTTTAGGATGCCAAGTTTCACTTCCTTTCCCAGTTTGCAGCGCTGCACGCCTCTGCTTCGGTGTACCTAGGATTCCTGAATGTAGATGCCATTTGCTTGAATTTCTCTAAGTAAAGAATCTTCAATTTCCTTTATTGAGAGAACAGGACGCTAGCTATTCATGCTAGATGCTTGGCTACTTAGAGCAGGGAGGGGGTCTGCACCAAGGCAACTTTGTGCATAGTCTACTCGCTAGCACTGCTGTTTTCTGCAGTTACCTCCAAGGTGTGAACCTTTCTGGGTTGCTGCAGTCCTCCACCGGACCTGGATACTAGCTTCTTCCACTCTCTGTCAGCTTCCACCACACCTCTGTCAACCTACCATCTTCTTAAAATTTGTTGACATCTCTCATCTGCGATTGTCTTTGTTGCTATTTTTAATATCTTTAAGGGTTTATACCCTCTAATTGATTCCCTCTTACGGTAGGGAGTTTCAGGATTTTATTAGAAAGTGAAGATAAACACTTGCATTTAGTCTTCCTGAACAAGAAGCCCTTTGCGTCAGATAGCTTTTGCTGTGAAACAATCTCAAAACTTTATGGTTTAAAACAATAACATTTGTTACTTATCACAGTTTTGTGAATTGATTGGGAAGTTCTAATGGGCTGCACTGGTTTGGCTGGGACAAGATGGTCTAGAGTGGCCTTACCCTAATGCCTGGCTATTGGCCTGGTGTCCTTGGGGGTGATGACCACCTGTCTCTCTTCATCCATCAGGTTAGCTCAGCTTCATTCACATGGTAGTGGAAGAATTCTCAGTAGCAATGGGAGACGGCAAGCCCTGCTGCACAAGCATTTTCCGAGCCCCTTGCATCACATCTGTCAATATCCCATTGACCAAAGCAGGTCACACTGGCCAACTTTGGATTCAGAGGCAGAGCAATAGAGGCCACTGCCTGACAAGAAGAGCTGCAAACTCACATTGCAAAGGGGCGAGCACACAGGAATGGAAAAGCTTTGCAGCCATTTCATGATCTATCACATTGCCTTTATTGTTTTAAAGCATATCATCCATATTTTCAAAATGTACTCTCTATTTATGAAAAATTAATTTAAGAATTAGTCATGATTAGGGGCGCCTGGCTTAGTCAGTTAAGCGTCCGACTTTCGCTTAGGTCATGATCTCGCGGTTCCTGGGTTCGAGCCCCGCATTGGGCTCTGTGCTGACTGCCAGCTCAGAGCCTGGAGCCTGTTTTGATCTGTGACTCCCTCTCTCTCTGACCCTCCCCTGCTCACGCTGTCTCTCTCTCTCTCTCCTAGAAATAAATAAAACATTAAAAAAAAAAAAGAATTAGTCATGATTATAAGATTGTTATTGAATTTTCTATTTTTACTATTTGAAGGTATGATTATCTAGTATACTTTCTGCTATATCCAGATGGTTCTAACTGAATACGTAGACCTATAGCCTTTGGATCCAGGATTTGAGACTGTCTTAAATTTATCTAATTTTGACTGTGTGCATGAACCTTAGAATTTCAGGATGGTGACTGATATGATAATGGTCAATTCAGTCCTAAAAACTTCATAATTTTGGAATTTGTGACTATAATATTGATTCTTAATGGAGTTACATAAATTATGCAAGGGTTTGCTACCTGACAGGCATTTTCAAGTTGATAATATGGAATTATTCCATTATTTACTTTGTTGTCATTGTTGTTTGTTTTGCAGAGTACAGACTGCAAAGCTGTAATTAGCACCATGGACGGTAGCTCCTTAGACAGCAATGGATTCTCCCTTCATATCGGTTTGTCTGATGCGTATCTCCCAAGAATGTGGGTTGAAAAACATCCAGAAAAAGAAAGTGAGGTATAGTCCTTCTTCTACTTAAAAATGAGAGACACTATTAAAAACAATATTTCAAATACATTATTTTAATTTGGAAATTACTGATAGTTCTGAAAAACTAGCATTACAAAATGAATGCACACCATTCCAAGATTTTACAGCTAAAAATACTTATGGAATCAGGCTTGACAAACTTCTGAGGTTTCAACCAAGTCCCTCATGTGGCATGTTTCTTTGTAATGACTTTAGTTTTTACCTTAATCCTCACCAAAAACAAAAAATGCCTTCAGACATTACATTGTTAGTCTGTATATTTTTATAGTTTTTAAATACTGATATTGTAAAAACAGATACATAATTATTTATGGCCATAAGTCCATTTGTGTCCCTATGACAAAAAATCTCTTCTTATTAGAATAAAAATTGAGAATGATATCAGCAAGATGTCCCAAGATGTCCTTCATATGTATCCCCCCCAACAACAATTATTTGGCATCTGTTCATGGACAGAGTACTGTTTGGGGGCTTTGGGATCCAGTTAGGAGATTGGGAAACACCAGTACTGCTCAAGAGCAACAACTGTTTGGAGAAGCCAGGCTTACACACAGGAAGCTGAGTTGCTGACCATGGTCCTGGCTTCAGGCACCGTCTGTGCCGCCAGATATCCTGAAAGCACCCTGTACTTGGCTCCAGCCTCCTCACAGTCATAATCTGCAAGCAGACCTGTGAGTCCAGGGACACTTCCATGTATAACCTGGAAGATTCTGAAAAGGGCCTATTCTCAGCTCTAACAGCAGTCTGCAAGTGGTCCTGTTGCAGACGACCTCTTGGATATTCATGTCTGTACCTCCGGAGATCCATAAAGGGCTCTCTACTTTGCTTCAGCCCCTCCAGCCACGGGAGGGTCAGTCTACCCAGAGACCCCATGAGACACATCCATCCGCACCTTCAGAGCCAAGTCTGAAGATCTCAGTCATGGCTGTGGAAACTGAAATGGTTCTGGGGCTTGGTTCCCGCCCCTCTCAACTGTAGTCCAGGGCCAATCTTGCCTACCCAGGACTCATCCTGCAACTAGGCAGGAGTATTTCCAGGGACCCAGTAGAGGCTACACCCATCCATATACCTGGTAATAGGTCTGATGACTGAGAACCTGTGGACTATGAAGTGGATTCTCATCGCAGGCTACCCTACTGAACAGGTTCTGAGGCAGACCCATCCATCCAGGGACCAGAAATGATCCACATGTGTTCAGCCCCCTGGTAACAAGCCCCCTGCAGACCACACCACAGACCTAGCAACAGCCTCGAAATTGACTCCACTTCTGCACAATTGTGATTCCAGAGGTAATCCCATCAGTCAGGGAACCAACAGAAGAAGGTCTTTACCTGCGAAACTAGTCTGTAAACATAAAGAAGCGTTTGTTCCTTCAGATGAACAGATACCAGTGCAAAGTTATGTAGCTCATGAAGAATCAGGCAAACATGACACCACCAACGAAAACTAATAAGGCTCCTGTAATTGACCCCAAAGAAATGGAGATCTATGATTTGCCTGACAACAAACTCAAAATAATCATCTTAAGACAACTCCATGCAATACAAGGGAACACAGATAAACAACTAAACAAAATCAGAAAAACAACACATGAACAAAATGAGAAGTTTAGTAAAGAAATAGAAACCGTAAAAAAGAACCAAACAGAAAGTCTGGAGCTAAAGAATACAATGACAGACTAAAAAATTCAAGACAGAGCTTCAACAACTGACTTAGTCATGCAGAAGAAAGAATCAATGAACATGAAGACAGATCATTTGAAATTAAAGGAATAAAAAGAAAATGAAAAGAGTGAAAAAAACCCACATGAATTATGGAACACCATCAAGCAGGTGAATGTTTGCATCATGGGCATCCCAGGAAAGGAAAGGAAGGGTGGAAAGATTATTTAAAGAATTAATAGCTAAAATCTTCCCAAATCTTGGGAGAGTGATGGACATCCAGGTGCAGGCAGCTCTGGATGACCCCAAGCAAGATCAATTGAAAGAAGATTACTCTAAAACACGTTATAATTAAAACATTAAAAATCAAGGACAAGGAGAGACTTTTTTTTTTAATGCTTTTTATTCTTAAGAGAGACAGAGACAGAGCATGAGTGGGGGAGGGCCACAGAGATAGGGAGGCACAGAATCAGAAGCAGGCTCCAGGCTCTGAGCTGTCAGCACAGAGTCCAATGTGGGACTCAAACCCACGAACCATGAGATCATGACCTGAGCCGAAGTTGGTCACTTTACCAACTGAGCCACCCAGGCGCCCCAAAGAGAGACTTTTGAAAGCAGCAAGAGCAAAATGACTCATCATATACAATATAACCCCCATAGGGCTGTCAGCAGATTTTTCTGCAGAAACCATGAGATCAGTAAGGAGTGGGATGATATATTCAAAGTGTTGAAAGGAAAAACTGCCAACCATGAATACTACTCTTTTGGGTGCCTGGACCCAATTCCAAGGGCAAGTTAGGGGCTTGCCCACATATCACTATACTCTGTAAGTCCAGGTTGTTACCTGTACTTCTGACAAACTAGCTATAAATCAGAGATTCCCACAATCCTTTCCTCAGTTTTTATTAACTTGCTAGAGCAGCTCACAGAACTCAGAGAAACATTTTACTTACTAGATCACCAGTTTATTACAAAAGCATATAACTCAGGCACAGCCAGATGGAAGGTATCCATAGGGCAAAGTCTGGGGAAAGGGTGCAGAGCCTCCATTCCCTCCAGGCATGCCACTTTTCCACATCTCCATGTGTTCACCAATATGGAAGCTCTCTGAAGCCCATGCTTTTGGGTTTTTATGGTAGCTTTTTTACATAGGCATGAATGACAAAAAATTATTGGCCATTGGCAATTGATTGAGTCTCCAGTCTCACTCCCCTTGTAGAAGTCTATGGACAGGATTGAAAGTTCTAACTCTCTGATCATATGTTTGATACTCCTGGCAACCAGCCCTCCTCCATAGGTGGGGTCCAAAACTCACCTCCTTAACATAACAAAGGACACTTTTTATCACTCTTATCACTTGGGAAATTCCAAGGGTTTTGGATTTAAAGAAAATTTTTAATGTTTATTTATTTTTGAGAGACAGAGAGAGAGAGAGTCATAGTGTAAACAGGGAGAGGCAGAGACAGAGCGAGACACAGAATCCAAAGCAGGCTCCAGGCTCAGAGCTGTCAGCACAGAGCCCACCATGGAACTCAAACTCACAAACCATGAGATCACGACCTGAACCGAAGTCAACACTTAATGGACTGAGCCACCCAGGCACTCTGGAAATTCCAAGGGTTTTGGGAGATGTGAGCCAGGAGTAATGGACAAAGACCAAATATATATGAGTTGACCAAATATATATTTCTTATAAATCACAATGTAGCATATAAACCCAGCAAAACTGTCCAGAAATTAAGGAGAGATACATTCCCAAACAAAAGCTAAGGGAATTCATCACCAGTGGACCTGCCTTATGAAAAATGGTAAAAGGAGTTCTTGAAGTGAAAGAATGCTATAGAAAAACAAGCTTCCAATTATGGAATGAATATGTCATGAGAATAAAAGGAACAGCATAGAGAATATAGTCAATGCTATTATAATGGCTTATGGAGACTGATGGTAGCTATGCTTGTGATAAGCATAGCGTAATGTATGAATTTGTCAAATTACTATTTTGTATACCGGAAACTAATGTAACATTATGTGTCAAGTATGTATCAATCAGAAATTTAAAAATGGGGCACCTGGATGGCTCAGCCAGTTAAGTGCCCTTCTCTTGATCTTGTGGTCATGAGATTGAGCACTATATCAGGCTCTGCACTGGGCATGAGGCCTGTTTGGGATTATTTTTCTCCTTCTCCCTCTGCCCCACCCCCTCCCTCAAAAAATTTTCCTTTTTAAAAAATAATTTAAAATTGGGGGTGCCTGGGTGGCTTAATGAGTTAAGCATCCAATTCTTGCTTTTGGCTCAGGTCATGATCTCACAGTTTGTGGGACTGACCTCTGCATCAGGTACCATGCTGTCAGCACAGAGCCTGCTTAGGGTTCTCTCTCTCTCTCTCTCTCTCACCCCCCCCCACCCCACTGCTTGCTCACTCTCCCTCTCTCAAAATAAATAAGCATTTAAAAAATAAAAATAAATAAAAATAAAATAAATTATATGATCCTGTCAATAGATGCAGAAGTGTTTGAAAAATTCAACACCCTTTCATGATGAAAGCTCTGAACAAACGGAGTATAGAAGGTTACCTCAACATAATAAAGACTGTATATGACAAACACAGCTAACATCAGACTCAATGGTGCAAAACTAAGAGCTTTTTCTCTAAAATCAGAAATAAGAATGCCTGCTCTAACCATTCCTATTCAATGCAGTACTGGAAATCCTAGCTAGACCAATTAGGCAAGAAAAAGAATTAAAAAGCATACAAATAAGAAAGGAAAGAGTAAATTTGTCTGTTTGCCAATAACATGATCTCATGTATAGAAACCCTAAAAACTCCACTAAAAAACTGTTAGAACTAATAAATTCAGGAAAGTTGGAGGACACTATAAGAAACCGATAGACCATGAGACACCTGGGTGAAATACTTACGGATAAATTTAACCAAAGGGAGTAAAAGATAGAGACATTAAAAAACTTGAGACACTGGTGAAAGAAATTGAAGAAGACACAAACAAATGGAAACATATTTCATGAATGGAGCCACAAAATACTCTGAATAGCCCAGGCAGTCTTGAGGAAGAAGAATAAAGCTAGAGGCATCATACTTCCTGATTTATACTGCAAAGCAGTAGTAGTCAAAACAGTGTGATCCTGTTATAAAAACAGACACTAAAGTTATGGAACAGAATTGAGAGCCCAGAAGTAAACCCATGCATATTTGTCAACTAACATTTGACAAGGGAGCTAAGAATATTCAATGGGGAAATGATGGCCCTTTGAATAATTGGTGCTGGGAAAACTAGATATCTTCGTGCAAATGAATAAAATTAGGCCACTATATTACACCACTCATAAAAATTAACCCAGAATCGGGACACCTGGGTGGCTCAGTCAGGTAAGTGTGTCTGACTCTTGATTTTGACTCAGGTCATGATCCCAGGGTCATGGTATCAAGCCCTACATCAGGCTACACATCACAGCTACACATCTGTACAAAGAGATCGTGAAAGGAAAAGTCAATCAATGTGGCAGACTTCATTGTTGTCTTATTTTAAGAAATTGCCACAACCACCCCAGCCTTCGGCACCCACCACCCTGGTCAGTCAGCAGCCATCAACATCAAGGCAGGACCCTCAAGCAGCAGCAACAACAAAAACCTTTTATTTTTATTTTTTTTAATGTTTATTTATTTTTGAGAGAGAGATTGTGAGTGGGGGTGGGGCAGAGAGAGAGAATCCCAAGTAGGTTCCATGCTGTCAGTGTGGAGCCCAACACGGGGCTATTGCACATATAATAGACTACAGTATAGTGCAAACATAACTTTTTTTTTCTTTTTTTTTTAGTGCAAACATAACTTTTATGTGTGCTGGGAACCAAAACATTTATTTACCTCACTTTATTGTGATATTTGCTTTATTGTGGTAGTCTGGAACCGAACCCACAATATCTCCAAGGCATGCCTGTACCCATATAAACAAGCCAGACTAGTTTAAGTAAGATAAACATCAGTCCAGCATCTTTTTTCTTTTTCTAGGCCTGCATGCTTGTTTTTCAACCAGATCTAGATATCACACTCCCTGAGCTAACTGAGAACAGTGAAGTGATTATCTGTCTGGATTGCTCCGCTTCCATGGAGGGTGCGACGTTCTTGCAAGCCAAGCAGATTGCCTTATGTGCACTGTCCTTGGTGGGGAAGAAGCAAAAGATAAACATTGTCAAGTTTGGCACAGGTGAGTGCTCTTCGGCCCCAGTCCGAAGTGTGCTTCCTCCTTAATATGAACATACTCATGAGTAGAGCTGATGGCTGTTTGAACCCTGCCCTCATCTGTGGAGTAAGAGGTAGCGTAGCGCGGAGCTCCGGAACCAGAGCGCTGGCACCAGGCCCCTGGGTTCACATTCCAACTCTACCACTTGCGAGCTCTAGGTGTCACCCTGGGCAAATTACTTGAGCTTTTTATATCTCAGTTTCCTCATTTGTAATATAAGGGTAATGGTTCCTACCCCATAGTGTTGCTGTAAGGATTGAGCTAATGCATGTAAAGGATTTGAAACAGTGCCTATTACACAGTAAGTGCTGTATAAATACCACCAGTGTTCCCAGCAGCTGCGCCGAATGCAGGACCCTTGGCTGACATGTACGAGGGTCCTAAGGATATGGACAGAACATTTGAAATCAGCACAGTATAGAAAATCTATAAGGTTTCAGCAAGCATCAGATCAGCCCTTTAGGAGGAAAAGTAACACCATCCTCCAGGTGGGGATCCAGAAACATGTCAGCCACCAGAAGAAGCTACTTTAGGAATGAGAGAAGGAACTGGAGTAGAGTGAGGGGACAGTCCTGTCCTTTTGATTCTTTCCTTCCATGCCATTCAGCAGAAGACCCAGCCCTTTTATGAAGGAGCTAGGGTCTGCTGCTGCTGGGAAGAAGTCAGATAAGCCTGGGAAAACCAAGGCCCTGGAGGGAGAACGTGTCCCTCCCGTGGCCAGGCTGCCGGTGCTGCTGTGACAGCCACATCTCACTTGGCATGAGCGCACATCTCCCTTGGCATGAGCAATCTTCTACATTCAATTTTATTCAGAACATTTTTCATTGTAAAGTGCATAGTTTCAATGCACTAGAGTTTATTATTTAAAGGAATACAGTGGTGAATTTTTTATGTTAAAACTATCAAACATTGTTAGTGGTCAATAAAGTGAATATTTCATGGTTACACCTCACACCAATCTTACCGCACAGGTTACAAGGAACTATTTTCATATCCTAAGTACATCACAAGCAACAATGTGCCAACGGAGTTCATTATGGTGAGTAAAAGAACCTTCCCTCATCTCTTGGGTCTTTTCCTATCAAGTTTTAATAGTACTGTCAAGACTTATTCTCCCATGACCACTATTAGAACACCCCCAGTCTTCAGTTTTTGTATGTTGGTGGGCTCTTTTGTTTTATTAATAAAAGCAATATGAACTCATTAAAGAAAAATTGGAAATTAAAAAGGGTAGAAAAAAATTCACCCACAGTTCTACCACCTAAATACAACCAGCTTAAACAGTGTTGGAATGTTTTCTTGTGTTCCTTTTTTCCTAGTTCTGAAAATGGAAGAGGCTGAGAATGACTTAGTTCTCACTTCAGTCCAGGCCAGAAAACCCTGGGAAAGAATAAAAAAAAAAAAATCAAACAAGTGCCACTGATAATATTATAGTGACTGTGTGACATAAATAAACTAACAAGATATAAGTATAGTTGTTCCACAAATGTATAATTGAGAAAAAATACATCTTTCCAGGGGTGATATCTCTAAACCCTCATTGGGACATGCTTCAGCAAATGACAACAGTTAATGGTGAATATACCCAAAAAGGAGTAAATAACTTTTCACTTCATTTCCTCTAGTCTGCTACACCTACCATGGGAAATACAGACTTCTGGAAAACGCTCCGATACTTAAATTTACTGTACCCTTCTCAAGGGTTACGGAACATTCTCCTCATATCTGATGGGCACCTCCAGAATGAAAGTCTGACCCTGCAGCTTGTGAAGAGAAATGTCCAGCACACCAGGCTGTTCTCCTGTGGTGTTGGGTAAGTGTGGGAGATCTGGTCACACAGTGAACACTGTGGGTGAAGGAAGCAGCCTGTGGGCAGGGCTTCTTTTGTTGACCTGCATACAGTAAGTTGTAGAGCTCTGAGCTCTGAGCCAGACTGCCTGGGTCTCAGTACCTGAATTGGCCATTTGTTAGCTATGACCTTGGGCAAGTTGTTAAACCACTTGTGTATAAAATGAAGATGATGGTGAAAATGTCATAGATTTAATAGATTTACTCTGAGGATTAAATAAGCTCATATATAAAAAATACTTAAGAGGTGCCTGGGTGGCTCAGTCGGTTAAGCGTCTGACTCCTGATTTAAGCTCATGTCATGATCTCATGGTTTGTGAGTTCCAGCCCTGTTTTGGGGTCTACACTGACAGTCCAGAGCCTGCTTGGGATTCTCTTTATCTCCTCTCTCCCTCTCTCTCTCTCAAAAATAAATAAATAAACATTTTTTTAAAAGTACTTAAAACAGTCTTAAGAACAGAGCTGGCACATGGCAGACCCCAAGTCAAATGTTATATTATTATGCTGCATAAAATCCATGTTTCCAGCTTCTCCTGAGAAGCCTGAAGATCTGGTTTGTGACCTGCTGTGGGCGGGGCCCCACCCAGGCGATTTGCTCCTTCACACCTTCCTGGTGGCTGGACACATTTGCACTTTCAAACCCTGTCATGGACGTAGGATCTTTCTCTCAGAGGCTAGACCCCCTTGATTGTTGGAATGAGCTCCCACCCCGATCATAGTTAGCTTTTTTGGACTTAACTGAGGTGTATAGTATAAACATGAAGAAAACACCAAACAGAAGGGGCCTGACTGGTGTCTGCACAGAGCATGCCTGCACCCTCGTCTCCCGGGACTGCCCCCACATAGTCACATCCAGGCCTTCCTGGCCTGAGGCAGAACATGGAGCAGGACAGCCCCTCAACACAGGGCTAGGCGGAGGTGGGTGTCGGCGTTCTCTGGGGCCACTGCGCTGTCCTGGACCGGGAGTCCTCCTCAGGTCACGGCTGTGAGCTCCCAGGAGCTGGAGGCCCCCCTGCTGTACCCAAGCTGGGCCTGCCTGCCCGGAGTGCTCTCTTCCTCTCTCTGCCCCACCTCAGTCATAGCTCCTGGTCCTGTCCTCTAACGTGAGAACAGGCCAGCCAAGGGGCGCCTGGGTGGCTTAGTCGGTTAAGCGTCCGACTTTCGCTTGGGTCATGATCTCGCGGTTCGTGGGTTCGAGCCCCGCGTCGGGCTCTGTGCTGACGGCCAGCTCAGAGCCTGGAGCCTGTTTCAGAGTCTGTGTCTCCCTCTCTCTCTGACCCTCCCCTGCTCACGCTGTCTCTCTCTCTCTCCTAGAAATAAATTTAAAAAAAAAAAAAAAAGAACAGGCCAGCCAGAAAATTCGTCCAGCCCACAGAGGACGCCCCCAGGAGTTGCTCCTAAATGGACTTCTCCTGATTAACTTGCACCTGTAGACCCGGGGCAGGGCTGGGGGGGGGGGGGGGGGAGGGGAGGGGCTGGCCACAACGTGCTGCAGGGACCTGCTCCTCCCTGCCTCAGCCAGTGCCCTGTTCCGTCTTCCCGGTCACGACAGCACTTCCTGCTCCCCTGACCACGTATCGGGGCAGTGCCGCGGTCGCGGCTCCGACATCCGTGCAGAAGATACGGGGCCCTGTTGATCCTTCTTTGCTGGGGGCCCGTCGTGAGACAGATGCACGTTGGTGCAGGACCTCAGTGCCGTATGTGGGGACAGACAGCAAACAATCAATAAGCTCAAAGTGAGGTGGGCTCTCCTCAGTTCCAGGAGGGAAATAAGGGAGTGCCGTGATGGGGTGGATGGGCACCAACCTCCTTTGGGAGGTGACTTTGTGCTCTGACACAATCCAGCCTGAGGGAGCTGGGATTTTTACTGATTTCCTGTCAGGTTTTTAGGATCTTTATAAATGTTTCTGCCTCATTTTATACATACTCATTTGTGTTCACAAACCCTAGCAAGATGGGAGTTCTCCAGGAGCAGAGACGGAACTATTGCCTGTTGTAACAAGCTGTCCTCTGAGGTCCACACAGCAGGAGCAAAAAAAGATTCCCAGCAGCCTCACTAGCCAATGAAATCGATAAATAAAGAGAAATAAACCCCTGCTTAGGGGGATTCTCTAATTGGTGGTGTGGTCACCACCAATTAATTTTGAAGACTAAAGACAAATCTAATCTTTAATCAATAGGCTGAGACATATTTCAGGAATAACTTTCTTAAGCTCTTTTCCTGAAAAGTAACTGATTGTTTCCTTAATATTTCAGGAGGAACCTCTCTAAGAAAAGCTTTCCTGACAGTTATAGAATTATTACTGAGAGAAATTTAATAGAACATTGTCATTTAAATAACAAGACTTATTTTTGCTAGAAAGATGCTTCCTTATCCTTATTGTTATCTAGATGTGCATCATAAGTTTTTAATGTTTATTTATTTATTTATTTATTTTTAAAATATTTTTTTATTTATTTCTAGGAGAGAGAGACAGCGTGAGCAGGGGAGGGTCAGAGAGAGAGAGAGAGACACAGACTGTGAAACAGGCTCCAGGCTCTGAGCTGGCAGTCAGCACAGAGCCCGACGCGGGGCTCGAACCCACACACCGCGAGATCATGACCCAAGCGAAAGTCGGACGCTTAACCGACTAAGCCACCCAGGCGCCCCTATTTATTTATTTTGAGAAAAAGAGAAAGAGAGAGAATCCCAATGTGAGGCTCAATCTCATGGATCATGAGATAATGAACTGAGCCAAAATCAAAAGTCAGACATTTAATGGACTAAGCCACCCATGTGCTCCTAGATGTGCATTGTACTTGAAGATGTAGACTTTATTAACTCTTTGCCAGTTGTTGGCCTTTGGGATCAAATTTGAGTAACTGATACTCATTGAAAGCAGGTTGATATTTTTACCGGTATTCTGATAACTTTTTGGAGGTTTTTCAGAATCATCTGTTCTCTCCTTTGGTAAACCAGGAGTCAAGAATTTATGCTTTTTTTTTTTTCCCCCTATCCTGAAAGAGAAATAAGTTCTCTAGTATATGAGCACTTAATTATCCAAACCTTTAGATACTGTCTGTCCTGAGTTTTATCTCTTTAACCCCAACTACAGAAAAGCAATTCTTCTCCATATAATATCTCCTCCGTTGAGTTTTGAGCTATAGCAACACTGTTAACTACATGTAATTCAAAAATATTTCAAAAAAAAATATTTCCACAATTTCTTGAAAATTATAACCTGTGAAATGTGATCAGTTCTACAGCAAATCGTCATATCCTAAGGACTTTGTCCCAGTACGGCGCTGGAGTATTTGAGTATTTTAACTCAAAATCCAAACAGAGTTGGAAAAAACAGGTACGTTTCTGAAACATCTTATTTCTAGTTTTATACTTATATGTGGAAATAACATCTTCTTACAAATCCCTTGACAGTAACTTGTGTGTTTTCATTAATGGAAAGGGGCCCTATGGAAGGGCCAAAGGCCCCACAGGCACGCACCCCTCAGTTCTGCCTCGCGTCTGGGTCATTCTCCTAGCTTATAGTTTGATTTCTTCTCTATAAAGTATCATGGAGGATTCTTAAAGGTGAAGTAGTATACGTGTTTTGTTAGCATTATCTGTTACTGTGGCAAAATATACATAAAATTTACCATTTTAACAGTTTTTGGTGGCACTCAGTGGCATTAAGGTACACTCGCAGTGTCGTGCAGCCACCACCTCCATCCGTCTCCAGGATTTTCCTTCATCCCAAACAGAAACTCAACTCATTAAGGAGCTGCTCCTATTGTACCTTCACCTCAGCCCCTGCAACTACCATTCTGTTTCCTTTCTGTGAATCTGACTGCTTTAGAAACTTCATGTGAGCGGGATCTGATAATATCTGACCTTTTGTGTCTGGCTGATTTCATTTGGTATAGTATTTTCAAGGGCTACGCACATTGTAGAATGTGTCAGAATTGTCTTCCTTTTTAAAGGCTGAGTCTATTTCATTGTGTGCACGCACCACAATTTGTTTATCTGTACATTTGTTGATAGACATCTGTGTTTCCACCGTTTAGTTCTTGTGAGTTATGCTGCTCTGAGTAGTGACGTACAAGCACGTGTTCAGGACTCTGAATCCAGCTATTTTAGGTGTATACCCGGAAGTGGAGCTTCTGGGTCGTACGGTAATTCCGTGTTTAGCTTTTTGGAACTGCCGTACTGTTGTTCATAGTGGCTGCACCATTTTACATTCCCATCAACGATGTACTAGGCTTCCAATTTTTCTGCATAATCGATAGCACTTGTTGTTTTCTGGCATTTGCTTTTGTTTTATAATAGCCATCCTAGAGTGTGAGATTGTATCTCATTGGGGTTTTGATTTGCATTTTCCTAATGACTTGCAATGTTGAACAACTTCTCATGTGCTCATTGGCCATCTGTACTTCTTCTTGGAGAAACATCCATTCAAACCCTTTGTAATATGAATTTGTATAACTGGAATCTACTCTCTGCCAAACTTGTGTATTAGTAATTAACTAACGGAATGATTTCGGGATGTTTTGCATATTTAAATTATGTGCTAATGCTATTGTTAAGAATTCTATTTAAAATCTTTCTGAAAAAATACCCTGAGCAGAAAGGAGGAAAAGAAGAAAAACAAGCAAAGAGCTACAAATCCTGAAGGGTAGAATGTAAAAGTATTCTAAGTGTTAACTCACTCTTTTCTGGATGTAACATTGAAAGAGAAATAATTCCTCTCTTATAAATAGATAGAAGACCAAATGACCAGGTTACGTTCTCCCAGCTGCCGCTCCGTCTCCGTCAAATGGCAGCAGCTAAGCGCAGCCGCACCTGAGCCCCTGCAGGCGCCAGCCCAGGTGCGGGCCTTGTTCCCCAATGACCGACTCCTTGTCTACGGGTTCATTCCTCATTGTACACAGGTGAGCGGCACACAGCTGGGAAGAGCAGTGTATGTTGCCAACAATTTTATTCTTCTTTCTCTTTTCTTCCCTCTCCTCCGCCCAGATCATAATATACTGGCAAATTTACTGTTTCCATAATATACTGGAAACATAATGGGTCATCAACTAGGGACCCTGGGGAGCCTTTTAATTTCCATTGAAAGGAGAGAAAATCACTGTGAAACTAGCCAAGACACTGTGGAGTGAAAAAGCTAATAAGGGATTTCCTCCCCACCCTCCAATCCTTTGCAGGCAACTCTGTGTGCATTAATTCAAGAGAAAGAATTTTCTACAATGGTATCGACTACTGAGCTTCAGAAGACAACTGGCACTGTAAGACTCAAACCTTGAACCATGAGCTCACTGTTTGAAAGCTGTCCTCATGTAGTATTTTCTTATATGATGCTGCATGTACTTCCTTTGTTGTTCCTGTTTCTGTGTTGAGACTTCAGTACACAAATGTGATATGGAGAATTGCTATCCATACAAACGAGGACACTCTGATTCAGTTTTTAACACAGTACTTCTTCTGGGGTTCTTGACTCTAGTGTATCCGCATCAGCGGATATGAATAACTGCAATGAAATTTGGTATTTTGTACATGAATATCTTTTAGGAAGGTTCTCAAAGGTGTCCGTGACTCAATCAAAGTTAAGTGCCACGGTTTCACCTATGTTATCTAGTAATATTCAGTATAATAGTACTGAACTAAGAGTAAACACATATTGAGAATGTGTTTGCTTTTTCTACTTTTGGATTAAAAGCAAATAAATTATCACCGGAAAGTTTGTAGTATTTGCACTAGTACTTGATCTACTATCGTCAGACCTGGAAAACCTTTCATCTATGTATATTATATATGCAGCTTGCTATTCATAAGAGTATTTGCATAGCCAGATCAACTATTTCCCAGACATTGCAGATTTTGTTAAGATAAAATATGACTTAACTTTTTGGCCCTGAATCAATAATTATAACTTATTATTTGCCCATGATGTGTGTATAGAACTTTAGGGAACCTCCATATTGTTTTAAAAATTGAATCTAAGGAGAAAATTAAGTCAAAGGATTTTACGTTTTACCTGGGAGGAGGTCATTCTCCATAAAATTACAGTTTTTATAGTTGTACTTTCTCTGTGAGCTGGGGCCCTATTGATAACAAAATGACAAGAGCTGGAATTGCCATGGAAATCAGACATTGCCATTTAAGATCAGTTGTATCTTCGTTGGAGAGAAAGGGAGACGATCCTGCGTCTCACTCTGGGGGGCACGTTTTGCTGCTCCTGCCGTTCCCAAAATACTCTTTTATAGAAGTGACAAAACCGTAGGGACAGGAAACAGGTGAGGGGGTACCAGGTGCTGGAGGTGATGGCAAGGGGCATGAGGAACGTTTGAAAGTGAAGAACTCTTCTGTATCTTTATTTCCACGGTGGTCACCACAACTGTATACATTCATTACGGGTCATCAAACTGTACACTTAAAAGAGGGGAATTTACTACTATACGTCAAATTTAAAAGTGGTTTTCTAAGTAAGACTTCAGCTAGAAGCCGTTTGAATCTTTCTCCCCTTTGCTGCTTACACACAGATGATCCACAAGCTGACAGCCCGAGCTCTGATCCGAGATTATGAAGATGGCATCCTCCATGAAAATGAAACAAATCATGAGGTTCGCTCTTTTTGTTGTTTTTGATCCTTCTTAAGTTGATTTACCCATGGAAACGTGAAGTGAGGATAGCTGGATGGAGAAGCATGTGGTCCGGGGGCATCGCTGTTGTAGCCGTGTTTCCTGTGCCTGGGATGCAGCGTGCTCAGGACATGTTTGTTGGACGGATTAACAAAAGAACAGATGTCATTGGTTTCCTGAGAATTCTCCGATCATTTTAGTCATCAGAAAGGGACCGGAAGAGGGCTCAGAGAACATTCACTGAGTGCCTGCCATAAATGTCACCTTAGATTTCATACATGGTAGGCACGGGTGTTCTCATCGCAGTGATGAAGCAGCCCAGCTGCAGGGCAGGTGGGCGACCAGCCTAAACACAGGCAGTGGAGCCAGAGACCGCCCTGCTCCGCCTTCACTGAGCCCTGACCGGGGCCCCACTCAGCCAGCCCACCGGCGGCCTGGTCCCTGGGAGCTGTGACCTTAAATGGGCTCAGGATAGTAGTACGTACTCAGTGCCCTTCCGGAAAGAAGGCACCAGAGTGCCATGCCTGGCTGTGCACGCAGACAGTCACAGCCGGTGACAGATGGCCTTGTATTTCCACTGTTCTCCCTGGTGCCCTTGGATTAGCCGCCTGTGTTCTGCTTTACTTAAGGCCTTTTTATCTCTGGGGGCAACTGACCAGTCCTGCTACCAAGTCCACCTCTCCACACCTTGGAGGGCCCATCTTTAAAATGGGAGGCGTGGCCTGTTTGTGAAAGAATGCAGAAGCTGACCACACTTGAGGACGAGAGTTCTTTGTTATCCATAAAGAGCTATAGAAATGTGAATTATTTTTTCTATGACTTAGCCAGTTACTTGATCCTATTTTGCCAGGAATGGTGAGTCCCTCACTCAAGATTTTACACAGGGCCACTGACTCAATTTAACTTGAAATGCTAATTATAAAATGCTTTATTTTATAGAAAAACGCCTTATTAGATTACTTAATACTTGTTTTATTGGTCATACATAGCTAAATAGTGAAAAATAAGATGTGACTTCATTTGTTTGATTCTATCCTAGATGAAGAAGCAAATCCTAAAATCTCTGATTATTAAACTAAGTAAAGAAAACTCTCTCATAACACAATTTACAAGCTTTGTGGCAGTTGAGAAAAGGGTATGTATTATTGTTAATTCCTGGTTATTTCTTTTGTATTTATGTATTAAGAACATTTCTCTTGCTCTGTTACCAGCAATATCCATGTTCATGACTTGTGAAGAGCAGAGGCACGTGGGAGAGGGCAAGGAGGACTGTCAAACCAGGGCCTCGCATTCATGGAGGGCCTCACAGTTAGGGTTCATGATAATCTCTGTATATGACTCACATAGGGGCGCCTGGGTGGCTCAGTCGGTTAAGTGTCCGACTTTGGCTCAGGTCATGATCTCACGGTTCATGGTTTTGAGCCCTGCGTCGGGCTTTGTGCTGACAGCTAACTCAGAGCCTGGAGCCTGCTTCACATTCTGTGTCTCCCTCTCTCTCTGATCCTCCCCTGATCACACTGTCTCTCTCTCTCTCTCTCAAAAATAAATAAAAAACATTTGCAAAAATAAAAAAATAAAAAAATGACTCACATGCACTATTATTTTTAATGTTATAATTATTACTTATTATATACCTTCTGAGATATACTACAGTTTTGTTACATTTTGGTATTTCTTTTATTAATGCAAGACCATCAAAAACTAGAAAGGGCTTGAGTCTCCCCTCCTGTGAGAGGCCCTTTCTCTTTCATAAGTTTAAGAGGAGAGCCCACAGAAGGCACTTTGCACACAGCATTCACATCAAGCTCAATAAAGAGGAAAGCCACTCAAAGGAGCCTGTACCTCTTTCTCTCTGTCTTGTGGCCCAAGACACACAGTCTAATCTGACACCCAAACATATTACAAACAAAGGATTCACCAGACTTTAGGGTGTATAGTAATCATTTGATTTGATAATGTCTGTTTTCTTTCTACCTATTTGTGATTCAATACAGGATGGTAAGGAGTCACCTTTTAATATTCCAAATATTTTGGAACTTATTGCCAAAGAAGATGTAGATTTTCTGCCGTACATGAGCTGGCAGGAGGAGCAACCAGATGCCGATGTGGCACAGGTAAATTGTTAGTTACCAAATACATCGGTGTTGTGTTTTCAGATTTCAATGATGGTGATGGGAACCCTTTGCTAAAAGAGCACCCTATTGCTTGTCTATGCAGAAACTGTTGTCTCCCCCCTAATGGAAAATATTTGTGCCTTTATAAAAAAGCTGTTACATGACTGAGAAAGTCACCATATATAAACGTATCTATAAAGTCCCGAAGGGGAACCCCCGTGATTTGGCTTCATTCATAGACAAATAAACTGCCATACAGCAAACTGAAGTCATTAACTCTAAGTAATTGGTAGGTTTGTCATGAAAGTAGTGATAAAAGCCCTATCTAGTAATCTAAATCCACCACGAATACTTCTTAAAGCTGATAGTGCTTTATACTGTGGTATAAAGCTAATAGTGCTTTATAGTCAGAAACAGAAGTTGAGAAATGTGACTTGCATAGACAGTGGAAGTGAAAGGCATATTCAAAACCAAAGGAACAAAACAGTGCTATTAGACCCTTAGGTATCTAGGGTGGTAAAAAGAAAAAAAAAGGCCAAAATTTTGGAATTTAGAATCTAAGGAAAAAATTTGAGAGGAATTTTGGGAAAATAACCACCATTCATTTTCCTTGATCCATTTGGAAGTTATTCTATCTGTTAAGAATATAAAAACACATTAGATATCATTTGCTTGCTTTGTTCATAAAACCGTGTTTAGTATGACTTGAAATGGTAAATAACAACACAGCAACAACAAAACCACAGGTATTTCCTCAAATCCTTCATGCAGAATTTTTTTTTTGTTTCATCTTCTAGTTGTCTTTAAAGAAAGGGAAGGTGAAATTTAATAACTTCTGAAAATCCTGTTTCCACTCTTTTTCTGAGTTTACTTCTCTGGTCCCATAGATTCTACTAGATAGAAGAGAAATTGTAGGTGCCACAGAGCAGAAGAGCAGTGGTAGAATTACGGGGTGACTGCAGCCCCTCACAGAAAGGTGGTGGGGATAGGCAGCCTCTGAGGCAGCTCTCCCATTGTTGCAAGCCCCTCGTCCTCTGGCTGAAGTGACTTCCAGGGGATTTAAAGAGCCTGCACCTTAACTTCCCCTGCTCATTTTTTGCTCTTCCCCTTTTGGGAGCCAGACATTGAACACCAGGACATTAGAAATAGCTGAATATATGGGAATAATTAAAAAGTGTCTGCACAAAACCAAGGAAAAGCTCAGAAAAGACCTAAGAAGTCATTAAGTTTACACTTCAGGCTTATTCTCAGCACAGAGACAGCCTACAACAATTAAAAAAGAAAAAAATAACAAAAAGCTTTTAGCCTACTAGGAAAGGGAAATCCCTCATTTGATAAAGGGCACCAATGAAGAACTTACAGTTAATGTCATATTTAACGGTAAAATGCTAAATGGTTTTCTCCTACGAGTGGGATCTTACCACTTCTGTTCAACATTGTACAGAATATTCTAACTGGTACCTAAGGCAAGACAAAATACATAAAAAGCATACATGTTGAAAGGAAAGAATCAAAACTTTCTTTCCTCTTAAGCAACCTAATTGTCTATGTTGAACATTTTAAAGATTCTCTAGAAAGATTATTAGAACTAATAAGAGAGTTTGGCAAGGTTACAGAATGCAAGGTTAATATAAGAAATCAACTGGATCTATATACTAGTAATAATCAGAAACTGAAATTTAAAAAACAATAGCACTTATAATACCGTAGAAAATATAAAATATGTAGAATCAAATTTGACAAAATATAAGCAGGACCTGTACATTGAAAGTTACAAAACACTGCTGAGAAAATTGCAGTTGAAGACTTAAATAGATGTTCTTGAATTAGATGATTCCATATTGTTAAGATCTTAATTTTCCTCATATTGATCTATAGATTCAATTCAATCCAAATCAAAGTCCCAGCAAGTTTTTTTGTTTGTTTGTTTATAAATTTATACACTCCATACTCAGTAAAAAATTCGACTCAGTAATCAGAAATCTCCCCACAAACAAGAGTCCAGGGCCGGATGGCTTTCCAGGGGATTCTACCAAACATTTAAAGAAGAGTTAACACCTATTATTTTGAAGCTGTTCCAAAAAATAGAAATGGAAGGAAAACTTCTACGCTCATTCTGTGAGGCCAACATAACCTTGATTCCAAATCCAGACAAAGATCCCACTGAAAAGGAGAACACGGATGAATTTCTCTAATGAACATGGATGCAAAAATCCTCAACAAGATACTAACTAGCCAACCATCCAATAATACATTAAAAGAATTATTCACTATGAACAAGTGGAATTTTTACCTGGTATGCAGGGTTGGTTCAATATCCACAAAACAACCAGCGTGATACATCACATCAATAAAAGAAAGGAGAAGAACTACATGGTCCTCTCAATAGATGCAGAGAAAGCATTTGACAAAATAAGCCATCTTTTCTTGATAAAAACCCTCAAGAAAGTAGGTTAGAAGGATCCTACTTCAAGATCATAAAGGCCATATATGAAAGACCCACTGCTAATATCATCCTCAATGGGGAAAAACTGAGAGCTTTCCCCCTGACACCAGGAAAATGACAGGGAGGTCCACTCTCACCACTCTTATTCAACTTAGTGATGGAAGTCATAGCCTCAGCAATCACACAACACAAAGAAATAAAAAGTGTCCAAATCAGCAAGGAGGAAGGCAAACTTTCTTCACAGATGGCATGATACTCTATGTGGAAAACCTAAAAGACTCCACCAAAAAACTGCTAGAACTGATATAGGAATTCAGCAAAGTTACAGGATATAAAATCAGCGTACAGAAACTCGTTGGATTTCTATACACCAATGATGAAGTAGCAGAAATAGAAATCAAGGAATTGATCCCATTTATACTTGCACCAAAACCCATAAAATACCTAGGAATAAACCTAACCAAAGAGGTCTAAGATCTGTCTGCTGAAAACTATAGAAAGCTTATGAAAGAAATTGAAGAAGACACACAAAAAAAATGGGAAAACATTACATGCTCATAGATTGGAAAACAAATATTGTTAAAATGTCAATACTACTCAAAGCAGTCTACACATTCAATGCAATTCTTATCAAAATAACACCAGCATTCTTCACAGGCCAACTAATCTTTGACAAAGCAGGAAAGAATATCCAGTGGAAAAAAGACAGTCTTTTCAACACATGGTGTTTGGGAAATTGGACAGCAATATGCAGAAGAATGAACCTGGACCAATTTCTTACACTGTACACAAAAATAAACTCAAAATGGATGAAAGACCTAAATGTAAGACAGGAAGCCATCAAAATCCTAGAGGAGAAAACAAGCAACAACCTCTTTGACCTTGGCCGCAGGAACTTCTTAACTTGACATGTCTCCAGAGGCAAGGGAAATAAAAGCAAAAATGAACATATTGGGACCACATCAAGATAAGAAACTTCTGCATGGCAAAGGAAACAATCAGAAAAATTAAAAGGTAACTGACAACGGGAGAAGATATTTGCAAATGACATCAGATAAAGGATTAGTATCCAAAATCTATAAAGAACTTGTCAAACTCAACACCCAAAAAAACTACTAATCTAGTGAAGAAATGGGTAAAAACATGAACAGACACTTTTCCAAAGACATCCAGATGGCTAACAGACACATGAAAAGATGCTCAACATCACTCATCATCAGGGAAATACAAATTAAAACTACTATGAGATACCACCTCACACCTGTCAGAATGGCTAAAATTAACAACTCAGGCAACAACAGATGTTGGCAAGGATACAGAGAAAGGAGAACCCTTTTGCACTGCTGGTGAGAATGCAAAGTGGTGCAGCCACTCTTAAAACAGTATGGAGGTTCCTCAAAACATTAAAAATAGAACTACCCTACAACTCAGCAATTGCACTACTAGGTATTTTCCCAAAGGATACAAAAAATGCTGATTCAGAGGGGTACATGCACCCCCCAATGTTTATAGCAGCACTATCAACAGTAGCCAAAGTATAGAAAGAGCCCAAATGCCCATCGACTGATGAATGGATAAAGATGATGTGGTGTGTGTGTGTGTGTGTAATTGGACTTAACTAGAATCAAAACTTATGGGGGCGCCTGGGTGGCTTAGTCGGTTAAGCGTCCGGCTTTCGCTTAGGTCATGATCTCGCGGTTCGTGGGTTCGAGCCCCGCGTCAGGCTCTGTGCTGACTGCCAGCTCGGAGCCTGGAGCCTGTTTCAGTCTGTGACTCCCTCTCTCTCTGACCCTCCCCTGCTCACACTGTCTCTCTCTCTCTCCTAGAAATAAATAAAAATTAAAAAAACCAAAAAAAAACCACTTATCCTCTTCAGGGTTGCTTGGGTGACTCCCTCTGTTGAACGTCCAACTCTTGATTTCTCTTCAGGTCATGATCCCAGGGTCATGGGATCAAGCCCCACATCAGGGTCTGTGCTGAGTGTATAGGCTGTTTCAGATCCTCTCTCTCTCTCTCAAAATAAATAAATACCCTTTTAAAAAAAAGAATCACATGCTCTACAAATGAGCCAGCCAGGCACTGCCAGGCTAATTATTTCCAAAATATCCCAAACTTTTAATTCATATAAAACTACATTTCATTTACATGCAACTTTTTAAGAATGACTCTTTAACTTTCAAATAATAGTAGTAACATAGCATCTTTAATTCCCTTCTGTTTTATATGTTATTCAAAGTCTAGTGTAAAAATATATTCATTTAGTTATTTTTTTATAAATGTTTTTATTTTTGAGAGAGAAAGAGAGAGACAGAGCATGATTGGGGGAGGGGCAAAGAGAGAGGGAGACACAGGATCTGAAGCAGGCTCCAGGCTCTGAGCTGTCAGCACAGAGCCCCATGTGAGGTGTGAACTCACAAACCATGAAACCATGACCCAAGCTGAAGTTGGACCCTCAACCAACTGAACCACCCAGGCACCCCTTCATTTAGTTACTTTAAAGCTTTTGAAATTTTTTTCAGTTTTCTCACTTTCCTAATATTGCTGTAAAGCAGTATAAAAGACTAGAATAATTTATTTCAAATTATCAGCTTATTTGAGGGCTAATTTACACACTCTGATACTGCTAATTATAAAATCTTGGACAAGACACTTCTTTGGTCCTCAGTTTCCTCTTGTATAAAATGAGGGATATTGAAAATTCCAAGATGCTAAGAACCAAGAGAAACAAGATATTTGGTGTATTTATTGTTGCTGTTCTTCCCAGATCTCAGACTCTGTACCTATGAAACAATGGTATTGCGCTTAAATTATCCTGAGTATCCCCTCCTTTCAATACTCTGGGATAAGCAATTGCTTGTCTGTTAGGAAGTATGTTCATTTTATTTTGTGTTTTCCCTTATGTTATATTTTCCCCTTTTGTGCAGCCTCTTTCAGCATTCTCTAGATGGAACGAAGAACTGCAACATCAACATTTGACTAACAGAAAATCTGGATCACCTAAGCTGGAAGGTTTTGAAGATTTAGAAAAGGATTGCTTCAGTTCCCCACTATCCAAAAAATCTTTAACACTCAGTTTCAAAAGTGAAGATGTGGAAAAGACATTGGCTTTAAGGCAGACGGGTTCATTTAAACAAACAGGAGATGAACCACTATATAGAAAAGCCCCTTTCCTAAAACTGGGTGCTGGCAGTATTTCTGCTTCCTATAGGTCAGCCTGTGTGAGAGCTCAGCCCTTTATCGGTTCTTGTTTCCAGTCTCCTCCCCGCTTACCCCCTCCAAAGCTTTGTCTTGCTCCTGCTGCTGGCCCCAGACATTCTGCTCCATCTGAGAATGACCTGGAAGGTGAGCCCTTAGCTGGTTCCAGTTTCCAGTCTCCTCCCCGCTTACCCCCTCCAAAGCTTTGTCTTGCTCCTGCTGCTGGTCCCAGACATTCTGCTCCATCTGAGAATGACCTGGAAGGTGAGCCCTTAGCTGGTTCCAGTTTCCAGTCTCCCCGCTTACCCCCTCCAAAGCTTTGTCTTGCTCCTGCTGCTGGTCCCAGACAGTCTGCTTCATCTGAGAATGACCAAGACCTTCAAACTGAGAGTTGTAGTGATTCTTCCCTTAAGTCATCTACCCCTTTGAATCCGTCTCAACTACTTTTTGGATCCTCTGCTCGTTTTCCTAATGTAGGAGCCTCGTTTAGCTTTGGGCAGGTTATTCTACCTGAAAGTTATCAAGGCCTTAAGACTGACAGTTGTGCTAGCAGTTCTCTTGAGTCGGACACTCCCCCACAGCCAAATATTTTTTCCTCTCCTCCTAGAGTTCCTCCCTCCGGTCTATCCAGAGAGTTTGGCTTTCATTACCTTTCTGGTTCTCCTTTTTATTTTCAAAATTCCCCAGTTCGTTCTAGCGCCAGTTACAAGCCACAGATAGATCTGTTTGCTAACACAGAATCAGACGCTTCTTCAGCAAATGTTTCTGCCATGATTTCATCATCCACTTCAAGTGATGGGCATTTTTCTGAAACAAAAAATGTTGAAACGCCAAGATTTCTGAAATGTCATTTGGCAAAATCTGATATAACAGGAAGTGATTTTACTGCAAGCTTTCAGGCACGAAAAGATGAACAAAGCTGGATGAATTTTGCACCTTGGACCAAACTCTTCAATCTACAAACTGAGGTATTAGTCTTATTTCTCCTTAAGTCTGTGGTTAATTAGACACATAGTTTAGAGCAGAGCTACTCAAAGTACCTGGTCGTTTATCAGTGCAATGGAGAGGTAAGTGACTTGTGGCAGATTATAAATCAACAAACTGCTTCTGCCATTGAGAAAATTTTTCAAAAAAAAAGTCAACAATAAATACAGTGTGCTTGATAACGGTATTTATCTATTTTTAACTGTTAGTCTAGAATATCATGCAAGTGAATGTTAATATTCCTCAACTGAAAGTTAGCATCCCTGAATGGGTCAGGGGGTAAGACCTTGATTGCCTAGGTTCTAGAACAGGCGAATTGCAATCATGTAAATTTCCCATTGTGAAGTAGACGAGTGCTGTAAGTATACTCTTAATTGTTTTCATATATAGTCTTGGGAATATCACTCAACATCTCAACATGTAAGACTGTGTTAGGGCTTATCATTCCATTTGTGAAGCTAATAAACACTAAGTAAACTTAGTTCCTGCAATGGTACTAAGACCAGACTCATATCTGTAATTATTTGTTTTAATGTAAAGTAGTTTGGTAAAGTGGAAACACAAATTGATTTAGTGTAAGACTAAATTTGAGCCTCGATCCTAGTGCTTTGTGATTTGAGGCAAGTCAGATAACCTTTCTGAGTCTCAGTTTCTTCATCTGTATGCTGGGGATAATAGTGTCTGCCTCATAGAGTAGCTTTGAGGTTTAAACATGACATAACAGCTGTCCGGCTTTGTTTTTTACCTGAAAGAGTGTCCATGAAAGCAGTATAGGAAGCAGTACAGCAGATGCTGCTGTCTTCAGGCCCTGGAGCCAGACTACTAGGGCTTACATTGTGCCTCTGCTGCTTGTTAGCTGTGTGACCTTGGACAAGTTGCTTAAACTCTCTGTGCCTCAGTGATCTCATCTGCAAAGTGGCTATAGTAATAGTCTCTCCACAGAAAGTGTCTAAAAAGATTGTTTTCTTAAATCTAAACACCTACGACTAGTTTAATACTAGTCAGCATATACCACTGCTATTATTTTTCAAATTATTGCCATAGAATCTGTGTATCTGCCTATGACCTCATCTTCCTTTCTGCTTTCTGTATTAGCTTCCCTGGGACCTGGAGTTGCTCTGCTTCAAGGTCAAGATCCCCATGTTCAGCCTTACAGCCACCTCATAATATGTAATAAGCATCCTTAAAAGTAGAGACTTAGGGGCACCTGGATGGCTCAGTTGGTTAAGTGTCCGACTTCGGCCAAGTTTGTGATCTCATGGCTCATCTCTGAGTTGTACTGACAGCTCAGAGCCTGGAGCCTGCTTCAGATTCTGTGCCTCCCTCCCCTGATCACTCTCTGTCTGTCTCTCTCAAAAATGAGTGAACAGGGGCGCCTGGGTGGCTTAGTCGGTTAAGCGTCTGACTTTCGTTCGGGTCATGATCTCGCGGTTCGTGGGTTCGAGCCCCGCGTCGGGCTCTGTGCTGACTGCCAGCTCAGAGCCTGAAGCCTGTTTCAGTCTGTGACTCCCTCTCTCTCAGACCCTCCCCTGCTCACGCTGTCTCTCTCTCTCCTAGAAATAAATAAAACATTAAAAAAAAAAAATTGAGTGAACATTAAAAAAAAATTTTTTTTTAAAGTAGAAACTTAGCTGGGGCGGGCAGAGGACAGTGAGGATAAATAAGGTCATTTTAAAGAGCATATTCACAACAATTTTATATTTAGTAAAAATTTGTCATTTTCATATTTCAGACTTCATAAAGGCACATTTTTAATGGTAAACAAAAGGAATCATGCTACTTAAAAGTTTGAGAAACATTTGTTCAAAATATTACTAGAAGAAAAAAATGCATAACATCATTTTTTAAAATACCTACACATGAGCCTCTTTCCAGACTTTTTACAAGTGCCGCCTGATACATAGTGTCCATAGTATTTTTAGATCCCTAATAATACGATGTCACTAGTGTATGAAGAACTTTGATTTAAACATTTTTTTTCATTTTTTAATATTTTATTTATTTTTGAGAGACAGAGAGACAGAGTGGAGGAGCGGCAGGGAGAGAGGGAGAAACAGAATCTGAAGCAGCTCCAGGCTAAGAGCTGTCAGCACAGAGCCCGATGTGGGGCTCGAACCCACAAACTGAGATCATGACCTGAGCCAAAGTTGGACACTTAACTGTCTGAACCACCCAGGTGCCCTTGAGGAACTTTGATTTTAAAAATAATAAAAATAATTACAAAAATGTTTGATAATAAAAATAATTACAAAAATGTTTGATAATAAAAATTTTAGAAATGTCTTAATAAACTGAATTTAAATAATTTGAAGCATATTATTTATTACATACTTGTTATGTGTGTGATTAAATTTCAGTAATGTGGCTTAACTTTGCTTTTTTATTTCATAGGATGGCTTCTGGAAACTTACACCAGAACTGGGATTTATTTTAAACCTTAATACGAATATTTTAAACAGCTTTCTTGAAAAAAAAGGCATTCGATCTCTAGGTAAGTCACATTTTTCTATTAGTTAAATGGCATGCTCTTAATTGTTATAAATTTTGTTGTAAACTAGTATACTAATATGATAATTACGTAAGTTACATATGAGTGGAATTATATTTGTTAACCATCCAAGGAAACAGAGGACCAGTTTCTAGCCATATCTTTACTGCTAATTAGGGTAGTGCCTGTGTAAGTTAATTAGCATAAGTAGCAATAATTTCTATTTTAAAAATCCAAAATTTCAGTAGCTTAACACAAAGATTGTGTTAAGATTGTTTTCGTGCACATATCACAACCAAATAGTAGTCAGCAGGAAAATTCCACTCTAGGTTTTCATTTAGAGACCCAGGCTCCTTCCATATTGTGGCTCTACCATTATCAAAAGTGTCTTTAAAATTACTCTAGTGAAAAGGAAAGAAGGAAATATTGCCCAGGCATCACTTACCAGGTAGATAGGAGGAGAAAGAAGCAATGGGGCAGGAGCGAGTCACAGAGCCCCACCCACATACAAGATGGCTGGGAAATGTGCTTCAGCTTTGTGTCCAGGAAGAGAAAACAGCTCTGGTAAGGGGTCAGTCTTTGCCAGAGCGAGTTCAGTCTCTGTGGACCTGTTTCTTGTCATGACAGCGAAGGGCTGGATGGGCAAGTGGTTGAAGGTCAAACGCTAGCCTTAGGTTAAGACATTTTTTAAAATAAAAATACCCATTATTAAACAACTAGTCAGTATTCAGGGAACAGCAATGTCTACCTACCCTGCCATCTCCTCAAAAAAGTCAGGGTTTTCATACTCCAGGCTTATTCCAGGGTTAGCAGGCCTTTGTCTGCTTGACTTGCACCCCACTGAAAAGGAATGATGAAAATTTGCATGAGGAGAATTCTAGTTCTTGGAATGATAAAGGAGCTTGAATCTGACTAAATCTCTCACCAGTAGGATTTAGTAAGCCCAGACAAAATATTTGAAAACCACTTTTCTAAGGCCTGGAATGCAATTAAAAAAAAGAGAGAGAGACAAAAACCAGAAGGTTCAAAATCCCTGAAAAAAGGAAGAAAATGAGGTGGATTCTGCATATACCCAGCTGTCCACCCAAAGGTACTTCTAAGTTCATGAGGCACATGAGAGGTTGGAACTGAAGCAAAGCCTTAATGGGATAATGACACAGAGGTCAGAGTTCGGGGCTGCCAGAGTGGCTGGAAAGTAAGGGTGAAAATCCAAGCAAGGAAGGAGCTGCCGGAGGCTCGGACACCTGCATTCGAATTCCCTCAGATTGTTGGCTCTCCCCTAACCTGTACTTACAGGCGTGACTTTAAGGAATCCAGGCAAAAAGCAACAGCTGGGAAGAAAAAGAGCAGATAGAGATACTAGCTGCTGCCAAGTGTTAGGGAACAGAGTTTGGTATTTGAATTATACTAAATTTAGAATTGACAAACATCTTGGAGCACCCGGGTGGCTCAGTCAGTTAAGCGTCTGACTTCAGCTCAGGTCATGATCTCACAGCTTGTGAGTTGAAGCCACGCGTCGGGCTCTGTGCTAAGAGCTCAGAGCCTGGAGCTGCTTCAGATTCTGTGTCTCCCTCTCTCTACCCCTCCCCCACTTGTGCTCTGTCTCTTTCTCACAAGAATAAATAAACATTAAAAAAAAAAATAGAACTACCCTAGTATCCAGCAGTTGCACTGCTAGGTATTTTTCTAAAGGAGACAAAAATGCTTATTTGAAGGATTATATGCACCCCACTGTTTATAGCAGTACAACAACAATAGTCAAATTATGGAAAGGACCCAAATGTCCATTGACTGGTGACTGGATAAAGAAGATGTGGTTTATATATACAATGAAATACTAGTTGGTAGTGAGAAAGAATGAAATCCTGCCATTTGCAGCAATATGGATGGAACTAGAGGGTATTAATGTTAAGAGAAATTAAGTCAGAGAAAGACAGATATATGATTTCATTCATATGTGGAATTGGAGACACTCAAAAGATGAACAAGGGAAGTTAAAAATAAGATAAAAACAGAACTGAGGCAAACCATAAGAGACTCTTAAATACAGAGAACAAACTGAGGATTGCTGGAGGGGAGGTGGATGGGGGAATGGGTTAAGTGGGCATTAAGGTGGGCACTTTTTGGATGAACCCCTGGGTGTCATATGTATGAGATGAGTCACTGGGTTCTACTCCTGAAGCCGAGACCACACTGTATGTTAACATGAATTTTAATTAAAAAAAGAAAAAGAAAATGAGGTCAATTTTTCAGTAGTTTTGGCTATCTCGGTTTATCTAAAATTGATGGTTTATGCATGGGTCCTTTTGTATTTACCAAAAAAATTGTGCATTATTATAAGACAAGGTTTTGGTTTTTTTTTTCAAAACCCCTGTCTCCCAGAAAAAGTATATTTGAGTCTTTATGTTCTCTCAATAAATTTATTATTATTTTAATGTTTATTTTTGAGAGAGACTGAACACGAGCAGGGGAGAGGCAGAGAGAGAGGGAAACAGAATCTGAAGCAAGCTCCAGGCTCTGAGCTGTCAGCACAGACTTGAACCCACAGACTGCAAGATCACAACCTAAGCCTAAGTCAGATGTTCAACTGACTGAGCCATCCAAGTGCCCCTCAATTACTTTATTTTTTTAAATTTTTAAAATGTTTTTATTTATTTCAGAGAGAGACAGACAGACAGACAGCATGAGCAAGGGAGGGACAGAGATACAGAATCCAAAATCGGCTCTGAGCTAGCTGTCAGCACAGAGCCCCACGCGAGGCCCGAACTCACAAACCGTGAGATCATGATCTGAGCCAAAGTCAGATGCTTAACGCACTGAGCCACCCAGCGCCCCTCAATTATTTTATTTTTAATGAGAAAGTGTCAGTTGAGGAGAGGACTCAGCCTGAAATGGCCTTAATGTGTATCTTGGGTACTTAGAGAAGGTATCTGCCAGATGCTAAAAAGGGAAATAAAAGAAATTTAACACAGGTTTATTAAGTATTTCTTGGAATATGAATTGAAGATTACAAGCACTAAATATCGTTCAATGAGCCTATTGAAGATGACTTACATTTTTTTTAAAATAAATTGGAGTGATTCTTTTCCTTTAAAGCTTATTTATTCTGAGAGAGAGAGCACATGCACCTGAGCGTGGGATGGGGAGAGAATCCCAGCGCAGAGCCTGACATGGGCTTCAGTTTCATGAACTGTGAGATCACGACCTGAGCCAAATCAAAAGTTGGATGCTTAACCAACTGAGCCGCCCATGTGCTATAAAGATCACTTTTTCAAAAGCAACATACATGAATGGGTAAAAAAGATGTGATACACACACACACGCACTGAAATATTATTCGGTTATAAAAAAGAGTGAAATTTTGCCATTTGCAACAACTTGGATGGAGTTAGAGAAAGTAATGCTAAACACCATAAGTCAGAGATAGACAAATAATGTATGATCTCACTCATCTGTGGAATTTAAGAAACAAAACAAACAAGGAAAGGGAAGAAAACAAGAGAGAGATATAAACCAAGAAACACACTCTTAACCTCTTAACTACAGAGAATAAACTGATGATTACCAGACGGGAGGTGGGTAGGGAGATGGGTAGAGTAGGTGATAGAGATTAAGGAGGGCACTTGTGTTACACGGAAGTGTTGAATCTCTGTATTGTACATCTGAAATGAATACAATACTGTATGTTCTTTAACTGGAATTAAAATAAAAACTTAAAAAATGTGTAGACATTGGCACCTGAGTGGCTCCGTTGGTTGGGCATCTGACTTCAGCTCAGGTCATGATCTCATGGTTCGAAACCCGAGTCGAGCTGTCAGCACAGAGCCCGGATCCTGCTTCAGATTCTGTGTCGCCCTTCTCTTTTTTCCCCCCTCCCCCACTCATGCTGGCTCTCTGTCTCTCAAAACTGAATAAACATTTAAAAATTTCAAAAATAAACATTTAAAAAATGTTTTAATGTGTAGACAGAAGAAAAGACAACATATGCATATATACGGTATGTACAAAAGAGGAAGAGTACATTTAATTGATCAAGCAAGGACTTGGAAGGAAGAACACATGATACGTAGAAATTAACTTTGTAAAACAACCACCACAACAAAAGCAGTGTCCATCACGGGAATGTAAACTGAAAGATCCAAAGAGTGTTTACCTTTGAAAATCTGGGGGGCTGAGGAATAAGAATTTGGAGGACATATACAAGAGGGCTCCATAATATGTTGTTTCTTCTAAAGAGAGGAATTTGAAGCGGATGTGGGAAAATGATAAAAATTGATGAGCTACATGGTTCTCTTTTCTGTATGCTTAAAATATGTCATAATAAAAAAACATTAAGTGGCTATGTTGTAGTGATGCTAGCAGTGCTACGTATCAAACATCTAAATCTAAGATGGAAATAAAGATAATTTACCTGGGAAACTAGCACACAACTCACTGTGAACTCAAATGATGATGAAGATTGCAGGGGAGGAAAGTAACTCTCCTTCCCCCTTTCTAGGTTCTTGGCTGAGACACCCTATGATAAAAAAATTAATGAGAAGAACAAACCATTTTAATCATGTACACACACATATACCTGTACAGAAGGGAGCCCGACAAAGATGGGGGACTCAAAGGGCAACGAGGCAACTGAGCTAAGGAAATGGAGAAGGGGTCTGGTCATGTGGGGGAAGGGCAGGAGTGATTCACAGGAAGGTGCTTGTTGAACAGATGTTGACTTGCCATGTAGATAAGTCTTTTAATGTGAAAAAGTTGACTCTGCTAATAGCTCTCTTCCTGATACAAGCCTCCTTTCTAATTTCTTTAGGCAGTTAAGTGGGAGGTAAAAAGCTTTTCGTGAGCTCACTGGGTCTTGATTGCCTTCAACTCAAGATTACCCACGTGCCAAAGTGGCATGTTCTAGGGTGGCTTGTTCTGAACCCACTCAAGATAGATGTTAAAAGTTTAGTTTCATGAAGTGTGAGATTGAGGAAAAAAACCCAATATTTTATGTCTAATTTTTTATATGAAGTGATTTCAAATGCATGATTTGCACTTAAAAAGTAAAATGGATTGTTAATTTCTGGCTTACTATACATAAACATTTCTCTTCAATTGTGGTATTTTATACTAAAATATCTTGGCTTGGGTAAATAACACTGGTTACCTGTCGTTCTGTTAAAATAATCAGAGAACATTTTGGATGATCTAAAAAATGTTAATTTTACATTTCCTAAAGCTGGCAGTCTCTACCCTCAGAAGTCCAGAGAACAGGGGAGAGGACTGCAAGGTTTTATAGAAAGAGGCAAGCGAGAAACCAGAAGGAAGTATGTGGCTTATAGTGATTGGCTAGGGTGGCATATCTGACCTTATTCAGTAAAGTCAAGGAACAGGGTAGTGCGTACAGCATCCAGCGTTGCCTTGCTGCTGGGGGATTGGCTGACAGGATGTACCTATTTTGTTTCTGATCTAGGGGAGTATTTACAGGGACACAAAAGCTTTGGTTCACTGTCGTGGCACTCCGGGCGGTAGCGGCTCCATCTTGGGCCTAGAAATTCATTCCAAGGATACTAAGCACTAGACATAATTTGATACACCGACTTAGTCGCCCATATCAGTTGTTTATCTGTTGTATGTTCCGGTTTACTCCTCTAAGGTTTTTGTAACAGGAGCCTAGAAACTGAATTTCTTTCACAAACTTCATGCATCTCTGGTTATTAAAGACAGCAAAGGATTGGAGCCGTGGCTATAATTGCTTCCTAACAACCATCAGGGGCGCTATGGCACTTGTTTCATTTGTCCTCATTTGTTGGTTAAATCACAGGCTAATTTATGATCTGCTAATGTATCATGGTTTAATAGTATTATAATTCTTTAGTAGAGCGTTCATAAGTGGGCACAGTTTGAGATGCAGAATTGACAACAGATATAAAAGAGTTTTCCACTCTTAGGTATAAAGGGAAGAGAGCGTCTCCTGGACCTGATCGCCACATTTCTCGTGCTGCAGTTTCTTCGTACCAAGTTGGAAAACCAGGGACTAGTCTTCAAATCACTGATGAAACTGGACGATGCTTCCATTTCCAGGTGACTTTAATTCTCGCATTAAGTAACTCATTTATATTTCTAACCATTTCTTGACTAAATTTTACAGGAAGCTACATGTAACTGTAAGAACAAAGAGAATTTATTCACAGGGAATATCTTGCCTGCTCTCTTCTGCCATTGGCAGGGCAGACACAGTATTTTTGCCTCTTGGGTTCCATGAAAAACCAGGGCTCAGAGAGGTAAGTGTAGCTCACACTGGAGCTCAGATCTGTGGCTCCTGGTTTAGTGTTCTTTTCACTATGGTATATTGATTCACGTGCTTTTGGAAAATCCACAATATGATTGTTAGGACCAGGCCTGTTCCCAATATTTGCAGGGCCTGGCACAAGAATATAGATGGAAACCCACATACTATATGTCTAAGTTTTTAAAAATTATAAATAAAACTAGCAAACTGTCAAATATAATATGTTTTAAAGTTCTGCCTTGGTAAATACAACTTCATGAAGACTGGGTTCAAATTTAGAACTCTGTGACCCCTTGGAAGTCTGATGCCATAATGTGACAGTGTGGAGAGAGCCAGTCCTGGGACCCTGGCTCCTAGCCCTTGGGCTGACCTTGGGCACCGCAGGAGGCCTTGAGCTTACATGTGAATACTCTCCTTACTTACCAAAACTTCATCCATACCCCATGCAAGTGGTCATCCCTTATGTGTGTGTATATACACATAATATACATAATGCATATATACATACATACATATATAATTTGCTTATGCTTTTTGAAACAGACAAGTAGGGAAACTAGCAAAACTTATAAAAATAGTTTTATAGGGGGAGACAAGTTTAGAAGCTACGTTTCTCCTAATATATCTTGTTTTACGTTTTTGACTTTGAAGCTATGTAAATATTTTGCATTATAAAGACCAGGTGCCAGGGAAGAGGTATTAAACATGTTAAATTATACCATGGACTGCAATCAGCAATGTCTGGAATGTGAGAAAATAAATGGCAAAAGAAAAAAAGTGAGGGGTGGAAGCTATAAATTAAAGGACACATGGCCCAAAGGCAGTGTGAGACCTTGTTTGGATCCTGATTTGAGTAAAACCTTTATTATTTGAAAAAGAGAGAAAGAGGGGTGCCTGGGTAGCACAGTTGGTCAAGCATCTGAGTTGAGCTCAGGTCATGATCTCACGGTTCATGAGTTCAAGCCCTGCATCAGGTTCTGTGCTGACAGCTCAGAGCCTGGAGCCCGCTCCACATTCTGTTTCCCTCTCCCTCTGCGTCTCCCGTGCTAGCTCTCTGTCTCTCAAAAATGAATAAATGTTAAAAAAATTTTTTTGAGAGAGAAAAAGATATTTAGGGAGATTTAAACGTTACCTGAATGTTTTGTGCTATTAAATAATTAGTTATAGCTATTTTAATGTCATGTTTAAGGAAAAGTTCCTGTCTCTTAGAGATACATATTTACAAATGAAATTAAAATAAATAAGCAGAACTATTTTTTTAATGTTTATTTAATATTTATACTAGCAGGATGGTCAGTCAAAAGTTTAGAGGCCAGCTGGATTAAAAGAAGTCAGTTGAATTAGTGAGAATATTTAAAACTAGTTTTGGGGCACCTGGGTTGCTCAGTCAGCTAAGCATCTGACTTTGGCTCAGGTTTCTTGAGTTTGAGCCCCGCGTCAGGCTCAGAGCTGACAGCTCAGAGCCTGGAGCCTCCTTCAGATTCTGTGTCTCCCCTTCTGTCTGCCCTTCACCCACTTGTGCTCTGTGTGTGTGTGTCTCTCTGTCTCAAAAAATGAATAAACATTAACAAAAATTTGATAAAACTAGTTTTGTTGCTTTCAGTAGGTAGTAACTAGACTAATGATTACTGGTAAGCATCTTTTTGATCATGCTTGCCATTTATATGTTCATGTCATTATGATATTCAGCTAACATTTATTAATTACCTACTCTGGGCCAGGGACTATTGAGCCAGTTAAATCCATGTGTTTTGTTAATCCCCACAGAAAGCCCCTAGGATCTCATACTATTATCATAAATGAGGAAACTGAGACTTTTGGTGTTGAATGAAAGCTGCACCATATCACACAGCCAACATTGTGTGATTTCAGAGTCAGGATTTGAAACCAGCTCTTCGCCACCCACTATACTACTGGCTGTTTCCCAGTTCACAGGGAAAAAAATCAGGAAGATGGAAATTTTTCCAAATTTTTAGTCCCCCTGGCAATAGGATTTTTTTTTAAACTGTAGTCTATGTTACCACTTGTTTGCTAAAAATTCTAGCAGGTGACAAAACAAATGAGGAAGTAGCTAATATTAATGAAAAATATCTCAAAAATTCTTCTGAGTCTTGAATAGACTTGAATATTTGACATTCTTGAATATTCAACATTTTATGAACAGAAACTTGAAGTTTTTATGTAATGCACAGTTTAGTAGTATGTTGTTCCTGGTTTGTATGATAATTAAATATGACAGTTTCATGGGTCTTGGGAAAACACCTAGAAAAATGGCTAATCAATCAAACTGAGAATTCCTGGTACAGGAAAGAGAGAGAAATAGAAGCCTGGTTTGTAAAATAGTATTGAGTTTTTGCTCAATACTATTGAGGAACAAAAAACCAAATATACATAAGCTAGAGGAAGCTTGAGTTGGCCTGGAGGCAGCAAGGAAGTCTGTGTAGCATTTGGAAGCTGGAAAGTGACTAGTATTTAACAGACTTAAAAATGAATAAGGAGCACCTGGGTGGCTCAGTCGATTCAGCGTCTGACTTCATCTCAGGTCATGATCTCATGGTTTGTGAGTTCGAGCCCCGTGCCAGGCTCTGGGCTGACAGCTTAGAGCCTGGAGCCTGCTTCTGATTCTGTGTCTGCCTCTCTCTCTGCCCCATACCTGCTTGCTCTCTGTCTCTCAAAAATAAATAAACATTTAAAAAGAAGAATAAACATTAAAAAATGTATTGAATAAGTTAAAAATACCATGTCAGTCTGGTAGAACTTTCATAAAATGTTAGAATTGCTTTTATTAAAGATCTCAATTTTTGACAGAATTATTTTGTCAGATCTAATGTACCACATTTGGTACCACATTACATTTCTTATGTGATTATATTCTGAAATTGATGGAAACATTTATTTTTAATCTAGAAATATTCCCTGGGGTTTTGAAGAAATAAAGAAAGCAAGTGAGTGGGTAAGAAGAACCGAAGGACAATATCCATCCATCTGCCAACGGCTGGAATTGGGTCAAGATTGGGACTCTGCCACCAAACAGCTACTGGGGATCCAAACCATACACACCACTTCTCCTCTTCACCGAGTTCTTAATTACAGTCAAGGCTGAATCAACTAAAGTTGTATTTTAGACATTATTCATGCTTCTATGTATAAAATAATCAGATATCAATAGGTACCTATAATGAAGGTTAATTAAGATTTTATTCAATGTAGCACTCACTTTAAACAGAAACAGAACTGATTATTTTAATGAACTAACGAGTGATAACAAAATAAATATTCTAATATTACAGATGATTTTTTGTGCTTAAATGTTTAAAGCGATAAGAGACACATCTGGCTGGTCCTGGAGCCTCACTTCCTTCTCCCCTTTAAGGAATCCAGGAGAGAACCGGCCAGCCCGGCTGAGTTAGCTGGGGAGAAACACGGTCTTTGGCTGATGTCAGTGTTGCTGACATGCCAGCCTGTTTCCAGGGCCCTGAGTTTCTGGACCTTTGCCCTCAGTAAGCACACTCCCTGTATCCTAGTCTGTAGATCTCTTGATACATTTTTTGTCACTCAGAGAAATTAAGTGTCTCATGCAGTTATTTCATGGATCTTGCTTTTGGAGTTGCATCTTAAGTCCCATAGTCATCTAGATTTCTTCCTGTGTTATCTTGTAGAAGTCTTACAAACTTTGCATTTTATGTTACGGTCTATGATCCATTTTGAGTTATTTTTCATGAAGGCTGTAAGGTCTTTCCATCTTCCTCTACAATACCACTTCCAGGCCATTACCTCTCTATGTAAAAACTGGTTTCTTTGAGATTCAGTCTTTTGGCCGTCCTCCAACCTGTCCTCATTGCTGTCATTCACCAAATGTTCAGTACCTCAACACATTTACATGTGGTTCAGGAATTCCCTTCCTGAAGGCCAGTCCTGCCTTCATCTTGAGCGACTTCCAGAATCCTGATGTAAGACCACTCCTAATTTGCTGGACTTGAACCACAACTGTAACAGTCTTGGCAGAGCTCCTTGATACCTAAAGTGTTGTGCCCGATTCGCGAGTCCCCAGAGATCACCAAGGAGCCGACACCGATGCAAATACAAAAGGGTCTTTATTACACGCTCGAGCAGGGGCTCACCCGCCTACCAGTGTGTGGCAGCAGGGTGAAGAAAAGAACAATAGCGAGCAGGGTTTATAAGGGGTCAGGGACGGGGTGTTACAGAGCACAAGTTGTAAGTAAAGCATCATCACATAAGCACCAATCACAGTTGTCCTGCAGCACCCATGGTAACAGCTTTGACCATTCAGTATCCGTGAGGCGTCCGTAACTTTTGGCGGGACCCAATCATGACCTCTGAGGATCCTTTGAAAATGACCAATTATGAGGTGAGTTCAAAGGGCCCACGTGGGGTTCAGGCAAGCGGTGAGTGATCGGCTAGTTTGTACGGAATAACTGTCTACAGTTCCCAGCCTTGACTCAGACCCCAGGAATGTTTTTTGATTGGCTGGTCCGAGGATGGCTTTAGCCTTGAGCAGTCTGAGGCTTTTCCTGGACCTGGGGCTGCGTGCAGCCCGAGGTTGCTCTTAATGGAGGACTTACTCTCAAAATAATGTTGCTTAGGCTCTTCAAAAGGATAGGAAGGAAGCTTGTGACGTGGTGCCATGAGGCCTTCTCCCGCCTGCCTGTCTCTCTGGGAGGCAGACATGAGACCGCTTTTATCACCCCCCAGTTCTGACCAGACATAAGGCTCAGGATACAGCTACAGACTAACAATACTCACAGCTGCATCTAGAATTGGCTCCTCGGGACTGATGTGTCCCACAACTCACACTGCAGTTGTCTAGCTCCTTTTGGGATGTGGGGCAAGAACCAAGGGGAGCTGGCATCTTTGACCATCTTCCTCTTGCTGTGTATAGAAGTAATAAATCATCTAAATCTAAAGCGGCTTGTTCTATCTTTACTGGCTAAATCAATCAGATCTTGCCCTTGTCTGCTTGACATAATCATAGAAGATAAAACTCTTTTGTTTTATCAGATTAAGGGATAAAAGAATGATAATACCTAGTAGCAGAGTGTATGAAGGTAAATCGACTTAGGGTTTTTTTTTTCAATTTTTCAATGTTTATTTTTGAGAGACAGAGAAAGCAGGGGAGGGGCAGAGAGGGAGACACAGAATCAGAAGCAGGCTCCAGGCTCCCAGCTGTCAGCACAGAGCCTGACGCGGGGCTCGAACCCACGGACCATGCGATCATGACTTGAGCCGAAGTCGGATGCTTATCTGACTGAGCCACCCAGGGACCCCTCCTAATGCTGTTAATGAAAATATACACTAGTAAAACAAAATTTTGCAATATTAATCCAAACTTATTTTTTCTTTCAACATACTCCTTTTTATTTTACTGAAACAAATATGTTTAGTATTGTGTACAATGACTACTTGGTATTGTTTCCCAAAGATACACATATACTGAAGGATCTACTACTTAGGTAAACTTGAATAATGTACTTAAACTTTTTTTTTAATGTAATTTATTGTCAAGTTGGCTTGCAGTGTATACAGTGTGCTCTTGGTTTTGGAGGTAGATTCCTGAGATTCATCGCTTACATACAACACCCAGTGCTCACAATATTAATCCAAATTTAAATCAGTACCCTCCTTGACCTATAAATTTTACTAATAGGAATTCTTCTAGAAATTAATCTTGCATATGGAAGCACACATATGATATGTTACATGTGCATATACATATTACAGTCGCAGGGCAGTGTGGAAGAGAGCACTTTTAAAAATTATATAAATGGGTTTTTATACATGTATGAGGTAAAAATCTGTTGTGTCATATTCTAAACTGGTTACATTCGAGGAACAGGAACTTTTTTATGTTACATATTTTTGAATTAATCAAAAAATTTTTAGTGAACATATATAAATTTTTATTTCAAAAACATATAAAAGCAGAAAAATAGTATAATTCACATAAATCCCCTCATTTAAAATATTTTGCCTAATTTTTATATATTTAGAAGTCTTTTGCTGTTGACTTGTTGAAGAAACAAGGTCAGTTGTCCTAAAGGATGTGCCACATTCTGGATTTGTTCAATTGTTCCCATTTTTTCTTTCCCCGTATTTCTTGTAAACTGGAAATTTGACTGAAGGTCCTGAATAGATTAAGGATCCATCTTTTTGTCAACAGGAGCCATATGGTTTGGATCTTCCAGTTTTAGTAATGCCAATAGTGATCAGTGGGTTTTCCATGTGAAGCTGTTTTTCCCCTACAACCAACCAACAGCCTGTGGCAGCCAGTTCCTCATCACTCCTTCACCTAATGGTTTTGTTGCCCAAATCATTTTCATGAAATACTATGATTATCTTTTCTTCTATGCTTATTAAATTCTTCTGAAAAAATGAGCTTTCCTTCATCAACAAATGTTATTTGATAATTTTTTTGTAAAAACTTATTATTTTAAAAAAGATATCTAATCATTAGAATTGTTGTGTGTCTTCCTTTATAGACCAAGAGCCTGTGCCAGGCAGAGAGACCAATAAGAATGAGACAACAGGCCCCAAATGCGGTTGTCTGTGCCCCCCATCAGCAAACCAAGACTCCATACTCAAACCTAACTGCAGTTTCAGACTCTTGTAGGAATATAACCTTAACCAGTAGTCTGGAATTGCCTAGCAGTACTAGTGAGGTAGTCTTCCTAGCAGTACTAGACCCCAGCCTTCCCCCAAAGGACGGTAAATTTTTCTGAAATAATCCTTTCCTTTATGACTTCCCGCCTCACCTCCTTTCCGCCGTGAAAAGCCTGTTTTTTCTGCATTTCGTCGGAGCTCCTTTCTATTTGCCACGTGGGATGCTGCCCCAATGTTGAATAAAGCCAATGAGATCTTCCAATAAAGTCAGCTGTATTTTAATGCCATGCTCGACTGCTCTGTATTCTTAACTGCTTGGTACAGTCCTGGTACACAGGCTGCATTCACGAAACTAACCCAGTAAATCACGGCGCCCACCCAAAGACCTGGGGCGCCTCTCCCAACGGGTCTGCGGGATCACAGGTTACGCTTCGGCTATCCTCAGAGTTAAGGTACATGAACTGATCTTGTAAATTAAGTCCACCATTCAAAGAAACAAAAATGCAAAGCTTGCTACCATAAAGATTTTATTTGCAATTCAAACAGAACAATATGTTATCCTTGGGTGGATTATTCTAGCAACTTTGGGTGACGCTCTTTGTCAACCATTCATAAGGTGGACAAAATACTTCATTACGTCGATATTTTCAATGGCGGAAAAATATCTAGAACTTGGAAAACACATGTTTTTTGCCCGGTACTTAAAAAAAATTTTTTTTCCCTATTTTTAAACAATACTCAATAAGATACAATATCAGTATGAATTCCGTTTGATTGGATCATTCACATGCCTTAAACGACTGAAAGTCACACAGGCACGACGGAACGGCGTCGCGTCCCGGGCCGCTCAGGTCAGGGCAGGAGGCGGCGGTTTTCCCAGGCAGCCCAGGGCTGCGCCGGGGCGCGCGTCGGGGGGGCCCTGAGCAGCGGTCACCCCGCTCGGGCGCCTCAGCTGCTCCTCCGGCGCGAACTCCCGCGCTCTGACGTCCCCGGCCACCCTTTCCCGACCGGGAAGCACCGGAGCCCGCCGCCGCCGCGCGTCCCAGCTCCTCGCGGGAGCCCCCACCCCTCCGACGGCCCCCGTCAGCCTCCTCCCCTTACCCCCCACGCGCCCTGACCGGCCCCTCTCCCGAGTCGTTCCCAACCCTCCCCTCGGGGGCCCGCAAACAGCCCTTCCGTACCCCCCTCTCTGAGGAACCCCGTCCGCTCCTCTCGCCGCCCGCTCCGCCCCGCCCTTCCGCCGGGGCGCCCCTGGGCCCGCCCACTCGCTTCCCGTAGGCCCTGCGGAGCCCCGGCGCGCCCGCCTCGATGTGATTGGTTGAAGCGCGTGTCGCTCCAGGGTCCCGAGCCTGCCATTGGTAGGTTTCCCTCAGTCGCGTCAAGCGCCCGAGTGGCTTGCGGCCGAGCGCGGAGCGCGAGGAGCCGCCAGGGTGTGTGTCGCAGCCGCTCGTCTTCGGCGGTTTGCGAGGTTCCCATTATGGCGGCGGCGGCGGCGGCGCTTGCCGAGGAGGCGAGTGTGACTGCAGCCCCTGTTTCAGGTGCCGACAGCAGTGGGGAGTCTCCCGAGGTGGAAGGAGAAGGCGTTGGAGCAGCCGGCCGAGAGCAGGACGCGGCCGCGAAAGGCGCGGAGGCCGCTGGAGACAGCGAGGAGGACGGCGAGGATG